GAGAGCCATCAATCCCGTGCCCATGATGGGTGCTGCTGGGACTCCAGGGCTGTGAGGAACCTAAGAAGCATTACGGCAGCCCGTGGGGACGGGCCCCTGAGAGGAGCTGCTGTGAGGGGTCTCCTGTGCCTTGGAAGCCGCTGAGATTACAGCATCTCACTTTCTGAGCCTCCTTCCCACCGAGCCCCGCTCCCTGGCAAATCAGAGAGGAGATACAAGCCTGACGGTTGAGAATAGCTTGCTGTTTCCACCATTTTGTTCAGAAGGAAAACAGCCAAGAGGTCTCTTGCCAGGAGCTTGGTGGGGAAATTTCCAGGCCATCCTCAGCCTCTGGCTCCTGTGAGGTGACCGAAAGTGCTTCATTTCTGGAGCTGGTTCCTAAGGGCAGGATTCAATACACAGATAGGTAGGCCAGAGGGGCAGGGCGGATGTCCTCTCCCTGCAAATCCGAGGCAGGCGGGCTAGCCCAGGCTGGCCTCCCTCAACACTAGAATGAGAGCAGGAGGGAAGGCCAGCAAGAAGTTCTTCAAGGCCCCATCCAGAGCAGGGTAGAGTGCACTGAAAAAGGAAGTCACACCTCCCACCACGGACGGCCGTGCAGGTTGTGTGTTGCACAAGGGTGCCTGCCACACGGAAGGGAGTTTGTATATTTATTATGTCAATGTTCCAGCAGATGGCAGCATAGTGTTTTGAGGAGGGGATGTGCACACACAACCAGTTCCCTGAGGCTGCTGTGTGAGGGCCGAGAATGGCTCAGGTGGAAGTCATGGTGTCGCTGGCACCACACCCTCCAAAGCCCAGACAAAGAGCAGCAGCAACCAACTTGTCATTAAGAAAATTCTTGTTTGATGCCACTTCAAAATCAAGGCCAAATTACAAGATAGAAACCAATTTACTGTGGTGTTTACAGCACTGACAATGTGCAATCACCTCTAGTTCCAACAATTTTTCATCTAAAATTCTAAACTAAAACCCCACTCTCATTAAGCAGTTACCCCCTGGCCCCTGGTAAACATCAATCTGCTTTCTCTCTATATATATTCTAGACATTATTTTTTATAGAGGAAATCATACAGTATATGGTCTTTTGTGTCTGGCTTATTTCACTTAGTATAGGTAGGGTTTTCAAGGTTCACCCATGTTGGAGCTGTGTCTGTACTTTATTCCTTGGATGGATGGATAATAGTTCATTGTCTATTTGTACCACTTTTATTTTGTACCATTGCTGGCGATATTTGGGTTGTTTCCACTGGATGCCACTTAAAAAAAAAGTTGATGCATAAACATATGCTGTAAATTACTCAGATCTTAAGTGTGGAATTCTAGAGTGCGTAAACACCATGTATCCACAGACCATGATGAAGGGCATTTTCATCACCTGGAAGGTTCCCTCCTACCTTTTCCCAGCCATTAACAACGCCCCCTCACAGAGATAACCACTACCGTGACCTCTATAATCATAGATGACGTGTGCCGTTTTGTGGACTTCATATAAATGGAATCGTACGGCAAACCCTCATTTATGTCTGGCTTCTCTCATACAACGTAATGTCTAGCTAATTAGTTCACGTCATTATGTGCACCAGCCAGTTCCTTCTCGCTGGATCTGCAGGACTCTGTCACGTGAGTATGTCACTGTGTGTGCATTCACACTCCTGTTGATGGAGACATTTGCATTGTCCCACTGTATGACTATCCCACAGTGTGTTTATTCATTCTCGTTAGTGGGCTTTTGGGTTTCCACTTTTTAGCTATTATGAATAATGCTGCTATAAACATCCCAGCTGGTGTCTTTTGCTGGACACGTGAGCGTAGATGCGCAGGGTCACAGGGTGGGCAGAGGTTTAGCTTTAGTGGATGTTTTCCAAAACAGCTGAACCAATTTCTACTCCCACCAGGAATGTTGGAGAGCGTCTCAGTCACCACCCCCACCTCTGAAAATGGGTGCAAGCTGAATCTCGCCCCACTCCCCCGCCATGCAGAGCCCTGTCGGCTCGGCTGGGCGGTGCCCCCCATGGCTAAGGCCAGGGCAGGGATACCTGCTGACCACAGTGTCCCTGAGGGTTTTCCCAGCCTGTCGTAGAAGGCCTCCCTTTCCAACCTGTCCCTCTGCCCCCTAGCATGATTATTAGTCACTGTCTTCGTCTGGACTTCCCCAGAAGCAGGCTCTGAGATTCCCGTACAGGTAGCTTAGGTGGGAAGTGGTCCCAGGAAACGTGAAGGACCACAGGAAGGTGAGGGGTAGGAAGGGAAGGGCGGAAGTTCAACAAGCAAAGGAGCCCTGGGGGGCAGCTAGAGGTTGGTCCCAGGGAGGCGGCTCCAGGCGCCAGAGGCAGGGGCGGGGCAGTGGCGCACCAGCCCTGCGGCTCCTCCTGGGGCTCCCAGCCTGCCTCCTGGGTAGGCCTAGAAACCGAGGGCTCCCCCGACCCCGCCCCGCGCCCGCCCTCCTTTCATCCCAGTCACCACGTTCTGCTATTTCACTCTTAAGCTTCTTTGAATCTGATTGTGCACGTGGTCCCCGTCCTGGTCCCAGCTCAGTGCATCCGTTCACCGGCCAGCAGCCAAGAGATCTTCCCATAATGCCTGGTTATCAGATTTTGCCTTCATTCCTTTGCTGACCTTGACCAAGAGATGGAGCCTCTCCCCGCCTCCTCTTCCTCATTCTTTTTGACACCTTGAGTTTGCTTCCTGGGAACATCTGGGGGAGGGGGGTAGCTGGATGGATGGTTCTAGGCTTCTGAACTTGGAGAGCCCCCTATGAACCAGTCTGAAGCTCCTAGGAAATGAGAGCCTTGGGCCCACCCAGGCCTTAACAATCAGAACTTGCACGTTCAAGTCCCACAGGTGGGGAAAAGGCACGTTCACCTGAGAAGCTGACATGAGGCCTTGCTGCACAGCAGTCCAGATCCACGGCAGGGCTTCTCCCCTGGGGGGCGATTTTGTCCCCTGGAGATAGTGGGTGACATCTGGGGACATTTCTGGTTACAGTTGGGGATGAGCGCTACTGGCAACTAGTGGGTTGAAGCCAGGGTGCTGCTCAACATCCCACAATGCCCAGATCAGCCCTACACAAAGGCAGGCCTGGCCCCGAATGTCAACAGCGCTGAGGAGCCATGGGCCCCCAGGAGAGAGCAACCAGCCTGTGGTGAGCCCCGACTCTCGGTCTAGGTCTTAACCCCCCCACCCCCCGCGAGACCCCCTGGAAGCCACACAGAAAGGCCAAATGTCAATGAGTCACTTACAGTTTATTTTTGCCTGAAAGTATTTCACATCTCTGAACACAGCTACGTGACAGTAGTATAACCATCAGGGAAAGCAACAGTGCGAAGGGAAAAGGTGGCATATCTCAGCTCTTCTGTTTTCCTTTAAAAAAATTTTTTTTTTTTTTTTTTTTTTGCTTCTGCTTCTTCCCGCACCAGAGTGCTGTAAAGTATGGGACTGGAGGGGAGAGAATAAACCAAACAACAGAAAACAACAACAACAAAAACAAAACACAAAACAGAACACTCACACGCACACGAAATAAAACCTGGCACATAAAATGAATTAAGACTGAAACCCAATTTCTTTTTTTTTTTCCTTTTTTAAAAAAATGAGGGCATAGTCGGGGGGTAATAAAGTCTACCTAGCAAAGTATAAAACGACAAAAGCATGGTTTCCATTGAATAAGATTAAATATATATAAAACAATTACATTGACTGGGGGTTAGGTCTGGAGATGCCGGAGGGGGCGTATTTGTGCTAAAACAACAGAAAAACGGGCTTGGGGGAGAGGGACCCCAAGTAAACTGTAAGGGGGCTGTTCTGTACAGTGAGGGCTTGTTAAGAAAAAGCCGACTGTTTATAAAAGAAATGGGGGTTGTTGTCCTCAGGGCAGGTGGGGGACAGAAAGGTGTCTGCGCAGCAGTGGTCACATTCGGGGGAGGGGGGCAGTCAGGGGGTGGAGGCGACGTCTCTCTCTTCTCCCAGGAGACCATGCAAGGAGGCGGCATGCGTGAGGAGACCACAGGGAGCACAGGAGGGCGGGGAGGCCACAGGTCGCAGTGTCGGTGATCAAGGACAGGGACAGCGGAGGCCACCAGAGGTGGGAGCTCTCTGGGGAAACGGCAGGGGCAGCTCTTCTCCAGGGATGGTGGGGGACGACAGGTTAGCACCCCCCACTCCAAATGTGTGAAAGGGGTGGAGAGGAGGCTGGGCCTCGGAGGAGCAAAACTATATAATGTGGGGGTGCCACATTTCCTCCCCCAGCCCAACCCCACCCCGTGAGGGAGTTGGAGACAACTGGGAAATGCGCAGTGGTAGGTGGGCAGACAGACAGACAGAGAGACGAGGAGAGAGCATTAGCATACAGAATCCATTACTAAAAAGTAATTAATTTTCCAAGGAGGTTCTTTTTTTTGTCTGTTTCCTTTAAAAAAATAACAATACTACTACCACTGCCCCGAAAGCCGACTGGGCTATACAGTACTAAACGCCAGGGGCGGCGGCGGGTGGGAGGGCGGGCGGGCGGGCCAGAGACTTCATAAATAAGAGGCAGGTCCCAGACCTGCAATTTGTCGACATTTCTTAAATAGGCGCATTATTTAAATCTTATGTACAACAAGAATCACTTTGCATAGCAATGGCGAGGACACAGGACGGGTGCGATGACGGGACTGGACCTTCTTCTGGTCCCAACGGCAGGGAGCCCTCAGCAGGAGCCTTGGGGGAAGGGAGCACCCTCCTCGGCCCTGGAGGCCCATCGGGTCGTGTGATGGTGGCATTGGAGTTGACTTTCCCCACACGGCATTAAACACAAAGGCAAAGAAAATCCACAAAGGGTCCCCCTCCCCAAGCCCCCCACCCACCCCCTCCCCGACCCGCTGATGCTCCTCTGGTTGCTACAAAGTCCATTTTAGATCAGGTCAAGGTTCCAATTATGAAGCTAAGAGAATTAGGCGGGGGCTGGGCGTGCTCATGAACCCCCTCCCCACCCCCTCCCCCAGCGCCCTCTGCCCCCAGAAAGACTCCCCCATCTATCTCACAGCCAGGATGCTGGGGTGGGACCCCAGGACTGGCCGCTCTACAGCTAATTAGTCAAGAGTTGTGTGTTGCGGTTGCAAACTCCTTCCTGCCGAGTGGAGCTTCACCAGGCCTCCGTGTAGCGGACGTCCACCTCCTTCAGGTTGGGGAGCTTGGCCTGCGAGGGAGCAAGAAGGATCCGGTCCCTTCCAGAACCTGGCTGAGCCCTCCCCACTGCCACTCCCTGGAGTTCAGAGCTGGGTGACTTCAGAAAGAACACAGAACAAGTGGCGTGTTCCTGGCCCCAGGGAAAGCAGGCTGCTGGGGACTCATGTCTCTGCCTCTGCGTGGCCTTGGACAGCCCTCCCCACATGCCTCTCAGAGCCTTGGTTTCCTCATCTGCGGAGCAAATCCGAGTCCAGTCCCAGGCCCACAGCGCGATGCCAGGGACTGCACACTGACTGATGGAGACCCCGGAGCGCCCTGCCCGACACAACGCTGTGTGCTCTACAGAAGAGCCCTAGTCTCACTTTTACTACTGCTCTTATCCTCATCGTTTTCAGAAACAGGGTGAACAAAGTGGGGTCCCATAAAATGTAGGCACTGGGGGAATCGGTCTCCCACTGCCTATTCCTCAGGGCAGCTTCCTGCTCTCCACCCCTGCCACCCAGGTGCACTTCCTCTCTTCCTTCTGCTATAAACAGTTGGCTTTTTCCTAACAAGCCTGCGCTGTGCAGAGAGGCTGCTGACCAGTCTCCTGCCTTGACTTCCCCGACTTTCCAACTTCCCTGCGTACTGGCCAGTGAGCTCTTTTCCCACACACAGTCCCTCTCTGCTTCTCTGCTGTGCTCAACAGCCCTCAGCGGCTCCCCGCTGCCCGGGCAGAGGCCGCGCACCGGGGCCTGCCCTCACCAGGACGGCACCTTAACGAACATTCGGGCCAACCTTTCAAAATTAGGAGGCTGCACAGGAGAAACTAGATTTCCAGGTTCTCTTGAAAACGGGGAGCTGGGCTGGGCAGTGCACCACCTGGCCTCCCCCACAGCAGGCGTCCCCAGTCCGCCCCGAGTCCTTGCCACACAGAGGCTGGTCATCGCTGGCCAGTATCAGAGCTGGTGCCATGTGTCTCCAAAATGTTTGAAAATAAAACGTCTACTGAAAGTGACTTCAGACGTGGCGGACAAGAGCCGCTTCCGGCTTGGTCTCAGCAACGTTTAGCTCTCTGGCGTGCTGGACTCAGGGCTACTCGAAAACAGTGCTTCTCCAACTGCTGTGAGCACAGGATCCTTGGGGGCGTGTTCAAACGCCTGTTTGGAAGCGGCAGGCCTGGGGGCCCTGGAGTTGGCATTCCTGACAAGCACCCAAGTGAGGCTGATGGAGCTGAACTCTGAACCCCGTGGGTGGGCACCCAGGCCGGCTCTGCCCTGGCCCATCCTGCACCCTTGTCTCCCCTCTGTGTGCCCCTCAGCACCTCGTGGCCAGCTGTCTCTCCAGTCTGCCTGGCAAACTCACTTCTCAAGGCTCCCTTTTGTGAAGATTCTTCTGCCTCGGTGAGTGGAGGTGGCTCTCTCCTTCCTGCCGGCCCCCAAGCCCTGTCCCGCCTCTGTTAGCTGTGCTTCCTCCTGGCCACAGATCAGCCAGTTGCACCTCAATGTCCCTGTCCCCGGCATGGGCCTGACACACAGCAGGTGCTCCGAAGGCATCTGGAGACTTGGCCAGGGAGCAAGCCCCAGGCTGCAGGTCTGGCTGAGCTGGAGGTGGGAGGTGGGACAGGGGAGGCCTCGCTGAAGGTGGGCCTCAGCCACGAGCTGCCAAAGGGTCCGCTCCAAGCAGCCTCCAGGGGCACAGGTGCCGGTGTGTTCCTGGCCCCTCTGTGCCGCCTGGCCCAGCCCTGCCTTCCCAGCGCGCTGGCTCCTCTACAGCCCCGTGTACTCCTTTTGGGGCACTGGTACTGAGCCCAGGATGACAGGGTGACAGGAGGCTGCTGAAGGCCCAGGCCTCCAACCCCCCACTCCCAAGACACAATTCCGCTCCTCACGGTCTCATTCTTTCCCCAGTTTCATCGCTCCAGCCTGGCTCCTACTGCGTGGCTGCACCAGTCCTGCTTCTCCTCTTGCTCCTACTCTCCCTCCAAGAATCTATTTTCCATCTAACAGCCAGAACAAGCTTCACACAGCGTAGCTTGCTACCCTGCGTAGAGCCTCTCAAGCTCTCTTCTGGACCTGGGTGAGTTCCAGGGTCCTTCCAGGACCAAGGTGGGTCTACGGGGTCTGCCCCAGTCTATGCTCTGTCTCACTTTCCAGTCATACTTGCTACAGGGTCAGTTCTTACAGCCCTCCCTGCCTTAGGACCGCTGCACTAGGGCTTCCTCTTGCCCCCGCCTCCTTGGCTTCTTACTCTGGGGTCTCAGCGAGAGACCGGGGCCCCAGTCACCCCATGCCAGACGGGCCCTGTTGTAATACACCAGTCCCCTGCTGGCTCGCTCTTTATCACTTCTTTCCACCTGCCCTTCTTTTCTTTACTGGCTTATCTGCTGGTGTAATACCTTTCCTCCTGGAGAGCAAGCTCTGTGCATCTAGCACCCCTATCTGGATGTTGGCCGGAGAAAGGAAGGACGGAATGAATTACCTTCAGGTCTTCATAGGTGTCAGCAGAGAGCTTGGTGCTGTTCATGTTTAAACTGCAGAGACTCTTCATGGCTGGGCGAGAAGAGACAGTCATTAGGTTGGGGAGACCCCGCAAGGGGCAGCTACAGGCAAGAGAAGGTCAAGCTGGGGGACCAATTGCAAATGCCAAGGTCCTTGCTTAGGAGATGGGGAGGAAGAGGCTCACTAGGGGCCATGTGGTACACAAAGTCTGCTTCAGGCACATGCGGGTCTAGATTGGGCCCCTGCTCTCTCCCGGCCCTCTGAGCCTCCATCTCTTCTGGTCCTCTGGCCTGTCCCTCCACTGCCCGGACCAGATGTCCGCAGAACTCGAGATGCCTTGCCCCAGACCAGCCCGGATGGAGCGGGCCTGGCCCTCCCCTCAAGGGAAGCCGGAAGCTGACTCAAGCCCTTGGCTTCTCACAAGCAGGCCTCAAAATCCTCTGTTTGTATCAAGAGTTGCAAGAGGAGGCTGTTAAAGATGTGACTGTCCTGTCCCACTTTCAGAGACGTGAAGGGGCTGGAGCAAGGCCCAGGAATCTGCATTGTTACCCAGGGCCCCCAACCACACTGTGTGACTCCAATGTCAGTAACAGAGAAGTGATTCCAAATCTCATCCTCCCTGCCTCCCATTTACCCTGTCGCCTGTCCCCACGCCCCCTCCCGAGCCATCCCAAATTTGCCAACAACTTTGGAGAAGTCATGGCCACTGCCCAGCAGGCCTCGCTCTTGGCCAACCCCTACGCATCTATCTTTCACACCCAGGTCCGATCGAGCACCTCTCTGGACACCTTCCTCGCGTCCTCCCAGCTGAGGCAGGCGGCCTCCCTCTAAACCAGTGGGTCTGACACAGGACATGCGGGTCGCAGGCTCAACATCACCCAGGATTTTCATTCAGTAGATCAGGGTTCAGAAAGTGTCATTTTGAGGTTCCCTGAGTGACTCCTGTGTGGCTCTATTAGGGCAGCGCTCCTCAAACGTTAATGTGCCAGGAATCACCCAGGCGTTTTTTAAAATGCCATCTCCGAGTCAGCAGGTCTGGGGCAGGAGTTGAGACTCTGCATTTCTAACCAGCCCCCAGGTGATGGCTCAGGTGGACTGGGGAGCACAGCAGCAATGTCCTGGAGCACTTGCCTTGAATTTGGTCCCTCGGGGCTGTGACAGCATCAGGAGGGTACTGGCTTGGCTGTACTCATTTGTTGTTTTTACATTAAAATTTAAGCTCCATGAGGGCAGGGGTATTTTCCCCATTTTGTTCCCAGCACCTACGATGGTGCCAGGCACAGAGTAGGCGCTCAATAAACACCTGTGACTGAGTGAATCTATCCCAGCACATAGCACAGCGCATGTGCCAAGGTGAACAAATGAATGAGTAAATGAATGACAGAACGGAAGGGGCCCTCCCCAACCCGGGCGGTCGCATCAGTACTCACAGCTGAGGGCCAGCAGGCCAGCATCGGTGACAGGCGTCTCGCACAGGTTCAGCACCTGGAGCATGGTGAGGTGTTCCGACAGGAGGCGCAGGCCGGCGTCTCCGAACTGTGGGGCACAGAAACTCTCAGCCCTGGAGGCTGACTCTGGCCCCTTGCGGCACCCTAGGAAAGGACCCTGAGGCGGGGCAGCTGTGGAGGGAGGGGACGGGGACAGGGTCCAGCTCCGAGGCCCACAACCCGCCCAGCCTTGGGGTCTGGGCTGTTCTCACTTCTCTCCAAAGACTCAAATGCCTCTCCTGACCTGGTTTCCAATCTAGCGTCTGCTGGTGGGACAAGGGTCTGGCAAGGGCCCTCCCTGCAAGCTAGTGTAGCCACCTGCCAAGGAGGGCTGCGAATGGGGAGCAAAGTGGCCTTTCCCTGGGCAGCACAGGGAGATAGAGTAGGGAGGGCTGGGCCCAGAAGACAAACCGATGGGAATGCCGATTTTTATTCTGTACAATGTGAGTGAGAGTGGGGCCGACGCAACACAGGTGTGAAGTGGAGGCCACATGTGCTAATCCATGCTCAGTGCTTAACAGCTCAGTCAGCACTGAGCACTGGCAGTGAGCATCCTTGTGCTGTGGTCATTGTTACAAGAGACCCACAGCCGCCAGCAAGCACAGGAGGCCCTACCTCTCAGCTCTGCCTGGCACGTCTCTGCCCTGGGCCTCAGCAACTCCAACTGTGACATGGGCTACTGGGCTTCATGAGGTTCTCTGCCTGCTCTGACCTCTGGGAAGTGGCCGCTGAGCCAGGGAGGGGGTATGGTAATCAAGGGACTGGGCCGTGGGCTCTGGGCAGAAAGGCCAGGCCGGCCACGGAGAAGGTGCAAGGGACATGGCGGAGGGAGCAGGGAGCAGGGGGCAAGGGGAGGGTGCAGGGGACAGAGAGCACGGAAGAGAATACACGGAGCAGGGCGCAGAGTGGGCAGTGTGTACCTGAGTGGACCACAGGTTCAGCTGCTTGAGAGAAGGCAGTTTGATGAGGTGCTCAGCGCAGGCACTGGTTACATTGGTGAAGGCCAAACTGAGGTTCTCCAGGTTTCCGAAGGAGCCAGAGCTCAGCAAACGAGCCAAGTCTGCGTCCTGTCAACAGAGGGGCAGGCAGGGTCTTAGGGGCTGCCAGGAACTCCCCAAGACCTGGAGCCATTCCACCCCCTCTCCCCATCTCCTTTCCCTCCCCCGCAGAGAGCTGCTTCTGGGGGCAGCAAATCCCCAGGAGCTGAGGTGACGACATGGCTTGGTGGGCTGGGCCAATAGGAGTGTCAGGGAGGGAGGGGTTGTCCCTGTGGGTGGCAGCTGCCAGGTGGGGTAAGAGCCTTCAGTGCTGTGATTCTCACCCTGAGTCACTAACTGGGGTGTCCCTAGGCCAAGTCCTTCCCACAGGTGTGTGTGTTGCAAAGGCACCCCATTCTCCCAGGCAGCAGCCTGTACCTGTTTCCCACATGGGAACACTGAGGCACCCCCTCAACTCTCAGGACTGTGGAGGGTGACGGATATGAGCCCTAGACTGTGGAGCTGCTGAGGCTAATATCCGTTCTCCCTTCCATCTTCGTGATGGAATTCCTGAGTTACAGCTGCCACCTGGCTGTCCTAAATTAAGGCTAATTTTTCAGCTGGCTGGAGCCATGTGCTAAATCTGGACAATGATCTATAAGTATATGTGTCAAGTGGCACTTCCATGAAGGCCCTTAAAGGGAAGGGTCATGTTAATCTCTGCCTCTTCTTTCTTCCTCCTGGCTGGTGTATAGACAAGATGGCTGGAGCCTGAGCAGCCTTTTTTAGACCATGAAGTAGAGGCCATGTGGCAAGGATGATGGGCCACCAGGATATAAGAAACTAAGATCCCTTGCAAAATGGGGATGGCAAGAGGCACCAACCTAAGTGGGTTGTTGTGACGATAAAACAACTTAACACAGTGTCTGGTACATAAATGCTCAATGCATATTAGCTCTTACCATTCTTATTGATAATAACTGGTAACATACTAACATTAATAAACAATAATCTTTTTCATAATGTTTGGTTCCCTCCTTAACAAGCCGGCCACTCAAGTACTGCGGGGTTTGAGTTCACCTCCCCCGTCACCTCCCACAGACAGTTACGCCATTGCCCAGCAGGGAGGACCAACCCACCTTCTTCCCTCCACCTGGCCCCGCAGAGAGAACAAAACCAACTCACTGTGGACTTGGAGGGCAGTGTTAGCCTGGTGGGCCCGCCTTTCCTTTGCTGCAACAGAGACCAGGCTGATTATGACCCCTCCTTTCCCGAGTCTCCTCCCTATGCCCCCACCTGGGTTAACATCACTCATGGTGCCGTTTTTATTTCTTGGTTGTAGAAGGCAACACGGTGGTCTTGGTCCCAGGGGCAGACCCCAAGACTAGGTTTGAGCACAGGTGGTTTATTCAAGAGGTGACGCCAAGAATCAGGGGAACAGGGAGGTAAGGCCATGAAGGCCCCTAATGGAAGGCAGCGCTATCAGCCCAGCTGCCCCTGGGACCTCTGGGAAGTGGCGGAGGAGTCACGTCTCAGAGCGACCCCTCCTGAGTGTTGAGGGAGCTGCAGTGTTCACGGACCCTCTCCCAATAGTCAGGGGCTACAGGACTGCCCCAGGAGACCAGAGGGCGTGAATTCCCTACCACATCCGTTTTGCTGTCCACGCATGCGGACAGAGAAAGGCCTTTGGCCAAGAGGTGTGCCGGCATTTGGAAGTCAAGGCCCCACGCACTGAAATGGGATGTGGAGATGTGGGGCAGGGCGGGGGGCCACAGACAGTGACTGCCATGCATGGCTCTGGGGCTGAGACCTGGCCAGGATGCAATCTCTGGCCAGGACCTGAATGAGCTGTGTGACTTTGGGCCACTGACTTGACCTCTCTGTGCCTCTCTTTGAGGATCTGGAAAGTGGTGGATGCTCATCTTGACCTCTTTGGGTCTAGACGGGACTCAGTGAGACAGAGGTCCCCGCCACTCTCCCTGGCCGCGGACTCACCAGCTCCTTCAGCTCCCGCTGCCGCTCGCACAGCTGCTCATACATGCGCTTCCCCACGCCGGTGCTCTCCAGGGTTGAGATGATCTGCAGCTGCGTGTCATTGTTGTCGATGATGTTGTACTCCAGCATCAAGCACAGGATCTGCCGGGAGCACGGGAGGCGCGTTACCACCAGAAGCATGGGCACGGGAGGAACAACTCGGGGCGGAGGCCAAGAGCCCATCCCAGCAGCCCCACACGCCCTGGAAAGGGGGCCCATGAACCCTAACGGGCTTATTTTGAAAATCAGCAGCCCCACTCTCCTGCCTCTGAATTTCTGGCTGTGTGGCATCGTGCAAATCACCTACCCTTGCTTCCTGAATCTGTACAATGGCGGCACTGGTGTATGCCCAGGTGAGCGCACAGAAAGCAGGCTTTTTAGTAGAAATGATGCACACCAGGCCCAAAGACAAGACACCTCTTTCTATCCCTGGTTCCTCCCCCAGTGCCTGGTATACAGCAGGTACTCAGATATGCCCAGTGAACTGCACCCGGGGAACATGAGCACTGTGCTGCCTCCTGCAGGGCCGGGGCCTTGGGCAGCTGCACGGGCAGACTCCCCTTCCCAGCCATGCCTGCCTGGGAGCCACAGGCTGACAGCTCTGCCTCCGAGGTCGCCTTTCCCTTCTCACTGCCCCCGAAGAGCCGGCCCGGCCCTCACACCACTGCCCCTGCTCACGCCTCTCCCCCGAAGTCCCCAAACAAGGCACTCAGAACGAGCACATGGACTAGACTCCAAACTCCTCACCAGGACCTTTGGGCGCCAGTAGGCTCTTCACACATGTCCACCCGCATCCTGAGCCTCTTGCCCCTGGACTCACTATGTGCTAGTGCCCTGGCCTCCCCCGTCTTCTTCCACCAAGCCCCCCGCAGCGGGGCCTTGGCGGGAGCAGTCTCCACAGCCTGCAAGGCTCTGCTCCTGCCTCTTGCTAACTCCTCCTCCGTCCGCAAGTCTCACCACCCCTCCCACTTGCATGGGGATCTCTGGTGCTTTGACGCTCTTCCTGCTGAGAGGCATGTCTACTGCTGTCCCCCAGTCCACAGCCCAACCCTGGGGGTTGAGTTTTAACGGGTGGAAGGGGCAGTGAGGCTAGTTAGGGAGAGCAATGTGGCGCCTGGCTGGCCTCTCTTTGCACAGTGGCTCTGGAAACTTTGGGAGGAGGGGACAGAGGAGCAGGGAGAGGGGGCGTGAGGACTGGGCCGGCGTGTGCTCCTTGGTGAGCGGGAGCACTACTACCCCAGGCTGCTGTGTGGAGAGAGGCCCGGGAGCTCCGCTGGTTAAGACCCCTCAGGCCAGTGCCGGACACTCGAGTGAAGTCTTGGGGGTCACCCAGCCCAGCTCCCATCTGACAGTGACCCCACGAGAGACCCAGGGTGAGAGCTGGGGCAGCTGAGCCCAGAATGGGCAGTCACCCCAAGCTCTGTGAGCAAAATAAGTGAGAATTATTGTCTGACACCGCCATTTGGGTTGGTCTGTTACACAGCAACACCCAGGACAGAAACCTCCCCTGAGCATTAGGACGCAGGTCACAAAGGAAATAAACCTGGCTGACAAAGGCCTCCTGGCCCGACCGCTGCCATGTCTTCGGTTCTTACGATGGCTCTGGGCTTAGAGCTCACTCAACAGGGCCCAGGGACCGGGCGAGCCGGCAGCCCTGCCAGGGACTCGGGACAGCCCCTTACCTCCACCATGGTCTGGTTGCCCCTCAGCGCCAGGAGCATGCAGGGTCCCAGCTTGTTTTCTGCCAGGGAGAGCAGGAATTTTTTGGTCTTGTAACAGGAGCCCATGAGGATGTGCACCTGTGAGGAGAGATGGCCCAGATGAAGTGGGGTGCCCGCGTTCCGTGTGTGGAAGGTTTGCAAAACCAGAAGACGTGGATCAGACCACGCCCTGTCTGGACAGAGAGACCTGACATGACCACCAGCCCCCGGGGGATTCCAAAGACCCCTCCCTGACATGCTCCCCTGAGCATGAACTTCGAGGACATTGTGCTAAGTCACAAAAGGACAAATCCGGTAGGATTGCTCTCGTGTGACAGACCTAGAGCAGTCAGAGTCAGAGACGGAAAGGAGAATGGCAGGGGCCAGGACTGGGTCGGGGGAGCAGCGCTTGGCGGGGACAGTCCCAGTTTGGGATGACGAAAATTCTGGAGATGGACGACGGTGGTGGCGACTGCAGTGCCATGTCCACGCACTTAATGCCTCTCAACGGCGCAGAAAAATGGCTGAGATGGTAAACTTTACGTTCTGTACATTTCATTATCACCACCACCCCCGCCTCCCCGAGACTCTGCTGACATCCGGCCCTCTGCGTTCTCAGCCCTGCTGAACCTGGCGGAGACTTCCGGACCGCCCTCGCCTCAGTCAGGGCGCAGGGGCCCAGGCCACGGGGCACGGAATGGCATGGAACCCTGCCTCCCCTCCCCAAGCCCTCTGTAAGCTCCAAAGGTACTCTGAGTGATCACCTGCCCAGAAACCCAATAGGCAAATTCTGCTCCATCCTGGGTTAGATGTGGGGCAGCCACTAAGGTACCTGCTTCTTTCTGGTATTTGAAGACGGGGCCTAAGCGCTGGGGGCCCCGTCACCTCATCTGCTCTCCCCGACTTCACCGCCCATGGTTGGAAACAGGGGCCTAACCAAGGGGACCTCTTCCTCCACGCGTCCCCACGGAAATGACGCACTGCCATCCCAGGGGCTGCCGGCTTCCTCCATGGATATTTTTTCTGTTCCATCATGAACAGCTCTGGCACACAAATGCGGTCTCTCTGGCTATGAAGCTGCCAGCTCCCTGAAGTCTCTCTCACACGGGGGTTGGGGGGACTACTGGGCGTTGCCATGGTGAAGCTGTGACATCAGAGGAGCTGGCAGAGGTGAGAGAGGAGGTGCAGGCAGGCAGGGCCTGCACTTCCAGGATGCAGGGGGCACTCAAAAGGGACTGTCAGGCAGCAGGTGAGGAACGGAGAGAGTGCGTAAGAAAAAGGACCTAAAAATAAGCCCCTTTTCAAGAAAGGTTCCAGAGGCAGCGCCTCGAAGTGTCGTCACCGCAGAAACAATGCTGTTAAGGTCACGGTAGGGAGCTTCACGAGCAGCTCTCCCCGCTGAAAGGCCACCAGCACAGATGAGAATAACCACAGTCGTCACTTCCGAGCACTGATGTGTGCTGGACCCTGCATCTATCATCGCACGTAATCCCTGTGGTAACCCCGAGAAGCCAACAGTATACTCCCCGTGGTACACATGTGGAAACTGAAGGCCAGAGAGGCAGGTTATCAGCCCAAGGTCACCGAGCCAGTGCGTAGCAGAGCGGCCACCTGACCCAGGTCTGGCTGACTGACACTTTTGCTTTGTCTGGCTGGAGAACCGGGGTGATCACGGAACTGAGTTGGTTCTGTCAGTAGGTGGGATACCTGAGGCCGCCGGCCACCTGGAAGAGCATCAGGCCTGGGAGGTGGGAGCCTGGCTCCCTTCAGCAGACAGACACTCTGCTATTGGATGGAGTGGCCGGCTCTGGACAACCTGGGCCTGGGTCAAGGGAGGAACGAGGAGCCGGAAGGCCTGTGTGACCTCCGGCAAGCCTCTGCACCTCTCTGGGCCGATTTCAAAAACACAGATGCAATTAAGACGTAGGGTTGCTGCGAGGATTAAGAGAATGGTGCACATGAAGAGTTTGACGCAATGCGCAAAGAAAGTACCGAAGTCACCATGGTGCAGCTAACGGTCTGGTGACCTCACGCCCCTCACCTCCACGGTGGGACGAATATCCTGACCGTGGCTTCTCACTGCTGGGCTGAGAGGAGCGGTGGCTCCACAGTGCCTCCTAGGATCCCTGTGCACATCAGGCACTTAGTCCCTTGGACCTAATGTTGCCACTACAACTAACTGTGTGAGCTTGGGCAGTTAACGTCCCACTCTGCAGCCTCCTCGTCTGTAAAATGTAATAGTGTCACCTTCTCACAGGGCTGAGTGAGACTGAGGGAGGGAGAATTCAAGCCCCTGGCCCAGTGCCTGCTCGGGTAAGAAATGAGAAAGCGTCACTGTGGACATCATCACTGCCATCTTCATCACCAGCGTCCTTTTAGCCTGGAAATTCCCAGGCTGCCGCAGTGGCCCAGGACAGTTCTCTCCTACTGTGAAGGGAGGTGACCCCAGCGCAGGAAGCTCCAGCTGAGGGGCCGCGCCCCACATACCATGCTGGCGAACAGCTCCCCGTCATCGTCACAGGCCACCCCTCCGGGGCTGTAGAGCTGAAACCAGCCGTCCTTGCCAGCCCGCACGCTCAGCAGGCAGGAGTGGACCTGCGCAGAGGAAAGGCACATCGGTCAGGGCCTCTCAGACCTTCGGCAGCGGTGACCCGTACTCCACACGCACAGCATGGAAGGCTTGGGTGAGTCCCACAGTTGAGAAACCTGTTTAACTCGGTTTAGTCTAGCGACCCCAGCCTTATACCAAATCCCATGGAAGGCCCTTTGCGAAAACTAGTATCCACAACTGAGGGGCTCTAGCCATCAGCATCCGCCGTGAGGGACAGAGGGCCCAGCCCTGCTTGGTTAGTGGCCCTGGAAATTCTGTGGCCAAATCCAGAGGCTGGAAGCAACTGCTAGACTCAGCCGCCTTTACTCCTGTGCCTTTGGGGGGCAGGGGGGTGAGAGGCACTTCTTCCTTCTCTCTTCTCTGTCCTCTCTGTATCTCTTTCTCTGCCCCACCTGATCTTTGGGTTTTTGCTTCCCCCATTACTGACCCTCACTTCTGGGCTATCTCTCTGTCCTTCTACTTCTATTTTCTTCCCTCCCTGACTTTACTACTTCACCCTCCTGGGTGCTGTCCCTTTGCTGGTCTCTGGCCTGCTCATCTCTTTCTCTCTCTCGCTGGGACTCTGCCACCCCCTCAGTAGGTCCCATCTGCACTTCTTTCTCAGTCTCTGTGCCTCTCCCTAGAAGGATCTCTCTCCAGGGTGGGGGAGACTTTAGTGTCCAAAGCACAGCTCTCGCTGTGGCTGTTAACCTCCTTCCCAGAGCAACATGTGTCACTGTGGCTGGGCGTGGGTGTGCATGTGTGCAAACACGCGTGTATGTTTGGGAGGAACAGTTCCACATCCACCCCGGCATTGCTGTAACTGCAGAGAGAGAGAGAGAGAGAGAGAGAGAGACAAAGGCCTTTATTTCCCCCTCCTCCTCCTCCCCATCCTCAGAAGAAAGCTGAGAGAAGTGCCCCATCGTTTCCTTCAGGAGTGAAGGACAGCCTGCTGCCAAGAGTCACTTGCTCACAGATACTCAATTGATCGCAACCCACACACAAGCAAACAGAAAACAGAGGGGGTGGGGCTTTGATTTTTCCCTGAGTTGGAGGAATGTCAAATGTTTCTGACTTCAAAGAAATAAGGAATCAGGAGTATGAAACTCTATTTGACAGATATAGTAAAGAATTTATAGGAAAACAACTCTGGCTTCATTTAGGAAGGAGAAAGCAGGAGTAGGGAGTGAAGGGAGAGAGAGGAAGAGCAACAGGACAGGAAGTCGAAGGCAGCGGCCAGCAGGAGGAGGGCGCGGCGCCTGCCGGGCGGGGCTCCGCTCTGCTCTGAGCGGCCCCGGGGCCTACGGATGTCATCCTGGTTTGGAAATTTCCCTCCCAGCCCATGGCTCTGCCTCTCTGCTCTGGGAAGCAGCTGGTGCCACTTTTATTCTTCGAACTTCAAAGTCTGTGTCTGAAATAAAGGCTCACTTTCCAGAGGAATTCTGAGAATCCTGAGAACAATGGAGACCATCACTGGTCCCCATGAGTTAGAAGCTTCCTATCCACCAGTTCTGCTTTTTCCCATTAGGCCTGAGAACTGTTTCTGGAATCAGGGTTTAGAATCACGGTGTTTCAGAACTAGATCCTTCTGGATCCTCCTAGAACTAGGCTTTCCACCATGGCCTGAAGAGACTATATTCTGCCTTCATGGACAATAACTCGCTCTCTCCTCTGCCCATCCTTATCCTCCCTCTCTGGTTGGTGCTCCCCCCGCCCCTGGGGCCAGACCCCCTCTCGTCCTGGAACCCATGAGCAGAGAGGAGACAGACCACCCACGTCCAGGAACCATGTGCACAGAGAAGGAGACAGACCACCCACATCCAGGAACCGTGTGCACAGAGAAGGGGGTCTGAGCTCCTCAGGGCAGGGCCAGCATCCTGCTGTCTCCGCGCCCTGGCTGGCAGAATGTGCAAGCTGCAGAGCTGGTTACCGCAGAGGCTCCACAGCCAGACTCCCTGGGTTCGAATCCAGCCTCACTATATACCAGCTGTGCAACCCTGGGGATGTCGCTCAACTTCAGTTTTTTCAACTCTGAAAGGAGGGTAATTTTGATGCTCAACAGGGGATAAACAGAACCTACTCATAGGAGGGTTAAATGGGAAAAAACATATGCCTGACACAGGTTGAGCATGTGATAGTCACGCTGACGCAACGGAGGACAGCTGAGGGGGCTCCTGGCTCACTCTGCACCCTGCTCACACACACAGGCTCTGGCTGAAGGGCTGCCCTCTCCCAAGGCCCAACTATCCAAGGGACAGCAGAGCCCCTCAGGGAGGCTCTTGGCCACCCTGTTCAGATTCCTCCTTGCCGGTTCTCAGGACAGCAGGACCCCAGAGGATGCAGTGCTGTCTCAGAACTGGTGGAGACCCCGTGCCAGCCTGCCCCAACTCATGGCCTGTGTTCTGAGAACTGTCAGCTGGGGGAAACCGCCGCTGGTGAGCCGGAGTTTACAGTAAAACACTGACATCATGGATCAGGCCCAGGCTCGGGCGGGGCTGTTTACGCACAAGGCAAGGAGCCTTTGTAAACTGTTCCGAATGTCCGTGGGTGATGAGGAGGCCCTAACAGAGCCACAGAGAGGCCCACACGTGTCCTGCTAAAGAGAGCAGGCCTTCGAGGAGAAAGAGAGGCCTCACCTCTTGTCGCGGGTCTTCAGCAAACCTCTGAATCACGTACTTCAGTTCCCTGGAAGAGATGGGTGGGGACAGAGTCATTCCCAGAGGCCTCACTTCTGTGAACCAGGACAGGGGCTGAGGGGAGGGGAGCCCGGGTGAGCTGGCAGGATGAGGAAACTCCTGGATGGGCCTGGACGTGTGTGGCAGAACTTCCCAAGGAGCCATGGCCGCCTCCCAGAATGCACATGACAGACAATGGGCTGGAAGGGGGGCTGGCCGCTGGGGATGACTTCAGGACAGAGGACATTTGCACCAGAAGAAGGTAACAAGGGCGTTGCCTGAATACTCACTTGGTGAACTTCTCGTGTGCGAGAGCTCTGTAACAAAGACAAAGGGAAGGGTGCAGTTAGCAGGGTGCTTGTGAAACAGCACAATGGTCCAGAGACGTTCCTCTGGGGACAGCTAGGCTTTATGTCGGACTCAAAGCCTCGAAGAATGAGGAGCAAGCTGAGAATGAAACACTGACATTTTGTCCCTACTTCAAGCTGCAAAACAAAGGCCTCCTTTGATGAGCGAGCAGGCTGAGCCCCCACACCCCCAAACCACCCCAGGGCCCATACCTGTAAACAGGAGGGCGCTAACTGGGTGCGTGTGAGCATATGTGCCTGCATGTGGACACCAGGGACCCAGGTGTGTTTGTTAATTGTTCCACAATTAAGGTACAGCTACACTCATTAAGGCTGCACATCAGGGCAACATTCAGGGACGATCCTCCAAGTGAATTGCATCATGGGCCCACCGTCAAGTGTGTCCCCAGGGTTGTGGAGACAGTGGCTGCAGCCAATGACACCACTGCTCTTTGGAGAGGGCAGCGGCTCTCAGGAGTCAGATTTCTCCAGTCTCAGATCCTGGGGGCCCCAGGGACCAGCCAAGCCAGCAAATGGGGCGATTACCGAGTGTAATGTCCCCCTCTGAGAGCCACATTTCATAAACACAGGCTCGTTAATGGGCTCCTGTGGGACCGGCTGCCTCCTGAGGCCTGGCCGCTTCGCATCGATTAAAATAGAGACCTGGAGGCATTTTAGGGCCTGGTTTAGACAAATCTTCTCCTCAGATGCACCATAATGATGTACCAGGCAGTTTTATCCCTATTTTACTGTGATAAATTCAATATTGGGGTAAAGGCCAGCAAGAGAGAGACAAAAAGTCCATTTCTGGCCAACTCGCTATGGAACATGAGCTAATAATAATTATAATGGACATAATAAGACAGCCTTCAGCATATTACTGTATGACATAGGGAGTGATTCCATATGCTTTTTTTTTTTTTTTTAATTTAACCGTAGCCTCAGAGAGAGTAGGAGCAAGTATTCCTGTCCCCATCTGATGCATAGTAAAAACCACTAGCTTGACTACACGGTGGGGAGAGCTCGGTTTGCATTCTCAACTCAGTGAACCCTAAGGATGTGATGAGGTGATTTCCCCATTTTTCAGAGAGGGGTGCCTCTCAAGGGGCCCCAGAGCTGAGAACCGCATCTCCACCTTCCGTGGTCATCCACGGTGTTTCCATGGGGGCCCGTGGCATGACTGGTCCCCCGGTTAAGGACTCAGTAGGTGACTGAGGTTTTTCTCTCAGGTCAGAGGCATGTGTGGGACTTACTCTTTGGGGAATGGAATGGGCTGAAGCAAGCTGGCCAGAGACGGTCTCCAGTCATCGTAGTCCGACCTAGAAAGAGAAGAAAAGATGGTCACATTTGGTCAGGACGAGGAGAGGTTTACAGCGGGCAGTCACAGACGGCCAAAGATGGGGCAAGAGTCTGGCAGAGACTCACATGGCACCAACTCTGCTCTAACCATTTCAGCATCCAGTGAGTTGAGAGGACAAGCAGCTGGTGTCTACAAGCGCGGCCACAAGGCCTGATGGGCAGAGGCTTCCATATGGCAGCTGCAGGGGCCGGTACCAGGCTCCCCAGAATTTCATCCCTCCTGGCCTCTGAACCCAGGCTACAGGGGTCACTGTTCCTTCCATCTTTTGAACCATCGGGGTGTTATGGGCTGAAATGTCTCATACCCCCCACATTCATATGTTGAAGTCCTGATACCCCAGTGCCTCAGAATGGGACAGCATTTGGAGAGAGGACCCTAAAAGAGGTGATTAAGGTGAAATGAGGTCACATGGGTAGGTCCTGATCCAACGTGACCAGTGCCCTTATAAGAGGAGGACGTAAGGACACGGACACACTCAAAGGGACGACCATGTGAGAGCGCAGACAGAAGGTGGCCGTCAACAGGCTGCAGAGAACGGTCTGAGGAAACCAGCCCTGACCGTAGCTCGATTTCATACCTTGATCCCAGCCTCCAGAAAATAAAATTCTATGTTTAAGCTGCCCAGTCTGTGTAATTTTGTTATGGAAACCCAAGAAGACAATATGAGGCGGGGTGAGGCTGGGAATGCAAAGCCATTCTCATCTTTCATTGACCAGAACTGAGTCATTACAAATAAAAATTACAGCCTATTTCTTTGTACAATAGTTTGGGTCAACTCTTCTGATTTACTGGATACCTCTCTTCTGTGTCCAGATAACTTTTTTTTTTTACAGTCACTGCTAATGGCAGTAATAACTCCAATTGTGGTAATAGCAATAATACTGAAAAAAAATAGCAGCTACAATTTTGTCAACACATTGTGCATGCACTGTATTATGCTAAAGCTTTACCTCTGTTCATTTACTCTTCACAATGAAGATTATTATATGTTTATATAATTAATATCATATTATATAGAGTGTGATTATGTGATGGCCTCACTTAACAGAGGGGGAAATCAAAGCTAATGCAGCCATGGCTCATGAGAAATCAAAGCCCGGCTTGTCTGACAACCGACCCTTGGCGGTCGCCGCCCTGCCAGACCGCAGCCGAGGCCTCCAGGGGGGCCGAGCACAGGCGTGCCCCCTCCCGCCTGTGCGACACCAGGAACAATGTGGGCACAAAGGATAATGGTAACTCCACTGGCGGAGCAGCCACTGTGCGTCGGGACCTGCCGGCTCATGGAGTCGGCGCTCTCATGGACGGGAGTCCCTATTACAAGCGAGAAGTGGTTAAGTGGACGCGGTGACCAGAGCTGCACCACTGAAGAGGCACAGGGCGGGTGGGGAGCAACAGCCTGTGAGGCCGCCGTGGAGCCCACAGGGCTGCTCCGCCCCTCCCACCAGCACCGCTTCTTAAAGAAGCAGCGTCTTCTGCCAACTGCACCCTGAGAAGCTAGGAGGGTCCGGAAATGGGAAAGAACACGAGGCACGGCCCGCGCCTCAGCCTGAGGACACACAGGCCTTCGGCAGGCACCGAGCATTCACACACATCCAGGTTAACCCACACACCGGATTCTTGGTCCCACGGCCCCGGAACTCGTTCACGTTTAGAACTCAGTGTCTCTCAGGCTTCATCATCTGGTACCATTCTGCCCCCTGCCCCAAGGAGTTTTCTTGACATATTTTAATAATTGTTCACCCAACATACCGTACGTGTTTATGCACCATATGTCTGTCTATGCTTTAGACCAAAAAAGAGTAGATAGGATCTTCCCACCCCTAGAACCTGTATTCGCCTCCGAACAATGGACAGCTCAGATAACTCCTGGGTGACAGCTTTCCCACCCCACCTTCCTCCAAATACATGGTCATTCAGTGGCAGCCTTTGGAATCCAGCTCGCAGCCTGGAGGGTTCTGAGGAGAGACTCAAACGCCAGACATACAGAAGAGAATTCCCAGGAAAGCCTAGTGGCCTGAGCTAAGTTCTACAGTTCTAATGGCTGAGCTGTACTGAGCACTTACTAGGCTGTGTGCTGGGCATGAACTTACTCGCTTAATCCTCAGAACAGCCACTAAAGGAAAAGAGGGAATCACACCTACCTTACAGGTGAGACAGTGAGGCCCCAAGCACCTCAGTGACCCATGCCTGCAGGCAGCTAGGAAGTGCGGAGCAAGGATTCTGTGGACCCCTGTGCCCAATGCTGGGCACATGCTCTATGCCACCCATGGGTGGCTGGTTGCAGGGTGCTCAGAGGCCTGTTGGATGAACATTAGGACACAGAGACTCTTTTTGACCCAATATCTATATGCTTTCTAGGGATAGGGGAGTCATACACTTTTGAAGCTAGCTTGTCTTCCTCCTAAGCCCCTCCCCTCCCACATCCCCACCTGTTACTGACTCTGACTCTTGGCTTCCAGAAAACCTGAAAGTAATAGCAAACATTCAGGACAGTGTTTGTCTTGTTCCACATACACACATGGATTGGCTCAGGTGTCCCTCCCAGAAACGCATCCCTGTTCTACAGGCAAGGACATGCTGGCCCAAGCTCGAGGGCCTGGCTCCCACGCCTGTGCTCCTACCCACTGAACTACATGACATCTCGTGTCTCCTGCCTCTGCCTGTGAGGAAAGGACAGTTCCCTTGATCAAAAAGGGTACGTACTAGTTTTTCTTTTGCTTTTAAATAATAAATGTTACTTGTAAAAATGCCATTAATGCAGAAAGCCCCCAGGAGACTTTAAATCGCCCGTCATCACAGGGGGTGTTAAGCCCAGTGTGCGGGCACACGCTGGGTCCCTCAGGGCAGTGACATGCCCGGCCCAGAGTTCGCTCCTCAATGGAGGGGGATGTTGACAAGCCTGTTCTGTCCCCCCGGGTGCTAAGCTCAGTGTGGGGCTGAGGCCACGTCCAGGGCAAGGGTCTGGGGGAAGCTCTCTCCCTCCCATGTTTCTCCAGCCTGGAGCTTGGCAGCCTGTCGGCTCCATTACGGCAGCTCACACAGGACCAAGAAAGAGGCCATGGGGGTGAAGAAAGGAAGAGGCAGACAAACTTCCTTTCTTGCCTCTGCCCAGCCCAGCTCTGTCTGTGGCTGGCTCCTGGCCCTGCTCCAAACGCCCAGTCCGACCAGTTTGCGCATGCGCAGAGGGTGTGCTGGGCAGAGTGTGGGAGGCCAGGTGCCCAGGGACTGGCCAGGTGGCCAGGCCCAAGGGACAGGGCGAGGGAACCCCATGGCCAGCAGAGCACCTGCCATGAAAATCTGGAGAGCAGCACCAGCCCCAGGGCTGGCGAGCCAGGCAGGCCTGGTGGGTAGAACAGCAGGCCCGGCTATGAGCGGCCTAGCCGCCCACCCCCAGGAAGGAGACAAGGCAGTCAGGCCTTCCCTGGGCTCAGCAAGGAAAAGGAGAGTAGGTGAGGCACCTCAAGCATTCTGTTTATGGGGCCAGGGTAGCTCTAGAACCCCAATTTATGGATTAGAAATGGATGCCCAGAGAGGTCCGGACACCTGCTACAGGCCGCAGACAGGATTCCCAAGCCCCCAATCAGCCTCTTTTCCCTGCACCAAACTCCTGGTGTTTCTTCTCAATGGAGCGGTGGCATCTGGCTGGGGCGGTTCATCACTGGACAGGACTGTACTGGGCAACGTACCACGCTTCCCACGTCCCCTCCTGGCGTCTGCCTTCTGCATTCTAGTTACACCTCCAGGTCATTAGGACAAATCCATGTCCATCTGAGTTTTCCCTAACAGCCCTTGGTGGCTGGGGCATCTTCCAACTGACCTCCAGCTCATCAGGCTTCTTTTAAAATCTGGGTTTTTGCAAAAATAACAAGTAGCCGGATTCAAGCTGATCAGAATGAGTAGATGTGCTTGCATCTCCCTCACAAAGGCTGCTTTCTCCTCTTCCTGGACAGAAGAGCATCCCCTTACCTGTGGCCTCACACGTGGCCAGCGGTTTCCCACACTCCATCCCACTGGGCAGGCAATGTCTCTGCCTCCAGCAGCTGGTGCTACTAGATTCAGAGGGATTGGGAGCAGGAGATCAGTTGGGACCCCCAGCATCTGGCAGAGAGCCTGGCCCAGCCGAGGTGCGCAGTAAATGTTTGATAAAGGCATGTATAAATAGATGGATAAACAAATACATGAATCACACGCAGGTGCCCAGCAGACTACGAGCTGGACTCCAAACTACCACAGACCCAAGTCTGCTCTGTCCAGCTCCCAAGTCCAGGTTCTTTCCACCAGACCACCCAGCCTGGGCCTCACAAGGCGATGTGTGCAGCGGCAACCCTGACCTGCACTGGGAATGGCCTTCCTTTTCAAGGGTCTCCGGGGAACTTTTTGAGGCTTACGTTCCTTTCAGAGGTGTGAAATTCTAATGATGTGCGGGCCTTGCTTGAGAACGTGTGACTAGGAGCCTGGGTGTTTCAGGACCCTGGCTGTGGGCTAGGCCGCGATATGCACACTCAGGGACCAGTGGGGCCTGCTCGGACAGACAGGGTCAGCACGCTGGGCTGACGCACTAAACCTGGCTTCGTCTGCCCCCTACAACATCCTCTTAAGATTCCTCAATGACGCATTAGAGCCTTTGTTCTTTCATCCTTCACACGTAACTCTCATTTACAGAGCACTTTGACCAACAGCAGTCCACTCTTGTTAAGAATCACCACTGGACCAGCCTGGAAAGGTCCCATGTCATTAAATTCCCACAGCAGCCCTCAGAGGAAGACACCCATTTTACAGACAAGAAAACTGAGGGCAAGAGGAACCAAGAATGCTGCCTACAATTACACAGCAAATTGCCATATAGTTGCATTCCCTAAATTTCCAGATGCATGCTTATTGCCCTCTGAGTGTGCTTTGAATGTCATATTTGTCTTTTATTTCCTCTCTGGTATTGTTATTACATCAATGAAGCATCTTACTCTCAATGGTGTCTTAAAATAGAGGAAACATAGTTGTGATCAGGGAGTGCAGTAAGTCTCATTTGCCCAGTATCTACGCCTGTGAGGCACCCAGAGCCATGTCCTCTGCCCCACTCTAATGCCCGGAGGCGGCCGTGACTCAGAAAAGACAAGTAACTCGCCCGAGGTCACAGGCCAGCACTGATATATCTGTGGCCTTTGAACCCTGAAGTCTGGCTCCAAAACTGTGTTTTTTCCAATGTATCATGTACTGAAGTGCTTTGCGCTCCTGGGGTTTTGGGGACAAACATGTCCTGGGCCCTCTAATGGGCCAGCGACTCATGCGGGCAGCAGAGCTGGAGAAGGAAAGTTGCTAGGAAGAGAAGTTATCAGGCCCAAGGTGTATTCTGGGCTCTGTGCGTCCGTCAGAACACCTCCGGCTCCCAGCGGGCGGCCCCTGACCGGGCCCCTGACCCCTGCCGGGGCCCTGGCAGCTGGGTGATGCGGGCAGGCAGGAGGTCTGGAAGCAGATCAGGAAGAACAGAGTCCTCATTCATGAGCATGTTTATGAAGAAGGAAAAAAAATGTGTGTGAACTGCATGATGAAACTCAAACCCTTAGTGTTTAATGAGAAATATGAGCCAGGGCCCAAGCCAGCAGGAGGCCGAGGAGCTCCAGGTGTCTGCGGAAAACAGCCAGAGCCCAGGCCCGAGGTGGAGAACAGGGCCACCTCCAGCCTGGTGGCCCTGCTGCAATCAGGGCGGGGAGGCTATGAGGGCCACGGCTGACCACCACTCCTGGGAGAAACTGGGGACACCCCAGTGCCTTGGAGAGACAGAGGCGTGTCCCAGGAGACGCTCTCGGACCATAATTTGGAATTTCCTTTGGCAAGTGTGAAGGGGTGGAGCAGGGCGGGGCGTCACTAAATGCAGTTGTGCCCTCAGCTGGCCTCCGCTGCGAGAACCATGGGCGAGGCTGAACCTGACCCCCAGGAGGCCTCGCTCTCCTCTCAGGGCCTGAACAGGCCAGAGGAAGTGTGTGCAGATGCTGCACCCACATTCTCCTGTTAAAACACGAGAAGCCACTGAGTGATGTGTGGGTACGCGCGCACGTGTTCATTTTCACAGACAACATAAGCCCTGCTTTGAGGGTGTGGGGGCACCCTTAGGTGCCTCCCAGGCTTATTCGCCGGCTCCCAGCGCCAGCAGGTTGCCTTCACCCCTCTGGGTGCTGAGCGCACTCTGGGCAGCAACATGCTGATGACAGAGGCAGAACAAGTGCCACAACGTGTTCAACAGACTCGGAGATTTAGTAAAACCCTGGCAACACCGATGAGCCCCTGGAGCCAGGCCTCCCCCTGGATCCAGGGGCCCTGGTACCCAGACTTCGGACAGTCACCCTAAGTCAGATGTGACCGTGCCGCCATCCCCCAATCCCTCTGAAAAGCCCACCGCCCACCTCGGACTGCAATGCCAACCTCGGGGCCTGGTCCTGAGGGCGGGGCCGAGCTCTGTTCTGAAGGACAAGACTTGTGGGAGTGAGTGCAGACGGCATGCGCTGGGTTCTCCAGACCAAGCTGGTCTGCGGGACCGCAGAGCTCAGCACAGGTCTCCCACCTGGGCTCTAGGAACCAGGTGCATGACTTTGGGATGAGTGTGAGTGGCACAAGTGTGAATGGCAGAACTAGGAAGACCCTCAGGGGTCTAAGGTTAATACTCATTCCATTCCCGAGTTACAAAACTGAGGCGCAGGCCGGTGGAGGGACAGGCCCAAAACACCCAGCTCAGAGTGGACCTCCTGGCTCCTTCCCAGAGCTCTGCCCACCAGCCAGGACTGCATGGGGCCCGGTCCGCACACACCTCCCTCCCTGCCCATCGGAGGGCTCACGAGGGAGAGGCAGGGGGCCTGGTACTCACAACAATCCGGGGGGCCGCTTTCCAAAGATACTCCCTTTACAGACAACCACACAGACACTCACAGGCGCGCACACACACACACACACACTAAAATGGACGTGTACACAGACAACCACATTAAGCACACACGGCATGTACAGATCATACAACACAAACACACTCACATGCTGGCTCACAGGAGTACCTGCCCACATACACAGGGAAACATGCACACACACTCCAACTCTTGTGTATAAACGCTCCTATCTACACATGTGTACTCATAGCGACTATGCACAAAATCAGCACAGTGCTCATACATCCACCCTTGTACACTTACACACGTGCACACTCAGGCAATCCCACATGCACTGTCATACCACACACTCACAGCCATTCACACATATAATGTTCATAAACTCAGAAAGCCCACACCCCACACAGTATGCAAAGGTTCACAGACTCACAGACACACCTGGGCACCCGTATGCTCAGGAACACATTTACACAAATATATTCTCAAGCTTATACATACATGTATGCTTGTGTACATACCTACGCATGAGCCCAGATACTGCAGCATACATGTATGCACACCCAACATGTGTGCCCTCATACCTTGCATCTCTGCACCCACACTCACATGTTTCCCCGCCCCAACTCAAGTGTGCACACTCAGCACACCCACCCTTGCATGCCTCAAACTAGCGAATACGGACAGCAAGGCCAAGCCCCTCCCACACTCCACTGGTGACAGGCACATAGAAGGGACACTCACAGCAGCTTGAGGATTTCCACGTAGCAGCCGAGCGTGCGGTCAGCCTGGGGGCCCAGCTCGATGCTCATGGTGCTGCAGGCAGGGCTGACCATGAGGCAGTCGATGAGGTTGGGCTCGCTGTCGTTGCCCGCGCTGGCCGTCAGCGCCGGCTTGGCAGTGCTGGTGTGCTCCACCTCCACGTGGATCTCGCTGGAGGCCACGACCACCGACTTGAGCCGCGCCTCGGACAGCGTGGCTTCCTGAGACACCAGGTCCGGGCTGGGGTGCAGAAGGCGCAGAGGTAAGGTGGGCTTCCGGTCGCAGGGCTGCTGGCAGCCGTTCCGGATCTCCTTCAGGCTTGGGGAGTTGTCGCGGCTGGGGGAAGAGGCAGGGGGGCCCGTGAGTGCAGGCAGCAGCACGTGGCCCTGAGGGCCCTGACAGCCGGGAGCTACAAGACCCAGGGAGCGCTTCCGAGAAGCCAGGCTCCACTGTGCTAAATGCCTCCCTGAACCCCTATGGCATCTGTGCTACAGGCTAGTGCCTTTCGTTCCCAGTCCCCAAGTGAGGAAATTGAAGCTCAGTCTGGGGAAGTGCCTTGTTCATGGTCTTAAGCCAGGGAGGGGTTGAAACGGCATCCAGTCCTAGTCACTTGTCCCTAAAGCACATGCCGTAGTGCCTGCACACAGTAGGTGCTCAACACATATTTGTTGAATAAATGCGTGAATGTTAATCTCTATGAGGTACCTCCATCAAGATGTCTCCCCTGTTCCCCTTCCTGACACACCTACGAGACCTACGATCCAGGGACGCCCAACCTTTTGGTGTCTCTGGGCCACACTGGAGGAAGAATTGTCTTGTGCCACACATCAAATACACTGCGACATATAATTACAAAACAAATCTCGTAATGTTTTAAGTAAATTTATGATTTTGTGTTGGGCTGCATTCATAGCCATTTTGAGCTGCATGTGGCCCATGGGCTGCAGGTTGGACACCCCTGCAGTCTAAGTGACCCCCTTCTCCTCCTGAAGCCACCATGTCCTTCAGGGCAAAGCCCAGGCCCCACCTCTACTGCCCCCTCCCCAGCCAGGTGAGAAAGCTCAGCCTCCACTCTCCATCTGGGAATCCACTTAAGGGGATCCCAAACCCCAGAATCCCAAACTCCTAGAGCCCGCAGGTCTCTCCTGTCCGCAGCAGCCCGCCCCCTCCTTCACAGCACCTCCAGCCACCTGGAGGAATGATGACTGTGCAGGGTGTTAACTGAGAAAGGGCTCTATGCATCACTGATGCCAAATTTGTTTGGGAAATGCTGGGCTGGAACACAATGAAATTAGTGCCTTGAGGCTGGTTAAAGCACCTCCTCACTGGGCACTTCCAAACATTACCAGGACGGACATCGACTGAAGGTAACCCTAGCGGTGAGCTTCCATAGCTGGTGCCCCTGGGTTGGCACAGGGCTAAGTGCTATGACACAGACTTCTCACATATCTCTGAATGGCAATATTACCATTTCCATGTTAGGGGTGAGAGAAGAAACACCCAGAGGTCAAATGACCTGCCCCTAATCACAGGGCTTGTAAGTGGAAGGGTATGGGATTTACCAAGAGGTTTCTGACTGCGAAGCCCAGGCTCCTCACCACCATTATGGCTTCCAAGATCCAATATGATCCTGTGCAGGTCCTCCTCCTCCATGAAATCTGCTCTGATTTCTCTTACCTGCCACCCTCACCCTGCCTCTGCACCAGAGCTTCCCCTTCCTGGCTGGACACCAGTGTCCCTTGTGGCATGTCTAAACATCCTGAAGCTCACTTGGCAACACAATGGTATGATCACAAAGAGCTCGCTCAGTCTCTCCCTAAATGTGGCACATGCATGTGCCCTGTGCTTCCAAAGATGCACGCCCTCATTGTGCACAAGGATTCGACTGAGCACAGAACTAGGACTCAACACACACAGACGGCCTGAATTTATCAAGCACGTGCCACAACCAGGCCTGAGCTGAGCCCACCAAGGATGTTTGATAAATACACTTTAAACTTTGCTGGGGAAAAACAAAAGCCATGGGCTACAGTCCGAAAATTCTATAGTTGATGGAAAATTGTGTGTGTGGTCCATGGGGGAAGGGCTATGGGTTCAGAGCTAATTTGCTGCTGAAATGCTCAACACTCCATTTCCCTTTGTTTGCCTTTGCTGGGATTTAGGAGTGGATTTTCAAGGCTGTTTGGCTCAGCACGAGTGATTTTCCAGTGAGCCATGCTAACCTGGGTCAAGTTGTCTGCTCTTTTGTGTGCGAGAACATCATGTACCACGGAGAGCACAGCGAATGGGCCCTGAGGACAACATGCGGCTTTATCTTCCAGGGACTGCTCAACGGAGTGGGATGGACCTGGGCCTGGGAAAGGTCTCGCGAGACTGCAGCCCTTGCGTGATTTTCTGGAGGAACTAATGGCATCGCTTGGAACTCAAGCTGCTGTGGGCTCCGAGGGGGTCTGCAGGAAGCAACAAGACCTGCCATAACCTCTTCGTGCCGCCACCTGGGGCACCTGGTTACAACCATGGTGGCTTACAATTCCTCCAAGGTCATGCTTGCCCCCTCTAGTCCATCCTCCATGCAGCAGCTGCCAGAGGGGAATGTGGAAATTGACACCTTCAAGTCCCTTCCTTACTTAAAACCCAACACTCTCCCAATAAAAACTCCCCAGTTGAAACCGAGGCAAAGTTCTACAACTCAAAGTGTGGTCCCTGACCAGCAGCATTTGTATTACTGGGAGTTGTCTGCTAAACAAGCGGAGTCTCAGGCCTGCTGAATCTGAACCTGCATTTAACACACACTCCCAGGAGCAAGCAGCTCAGCACAGGAGGTTTGAACAGCTCAGTAGGGCAAGTCTGTCCACAGTCAGCTCTCTTGTCCAACATCACCTTTCGCTTCTCTCTCTCTCTCTCTCTCTGCTGCAGTCAGTTCCTCCCCCGTGGTGGCCCTTCATCTTCAGGAGGGAGATCACCTGAGGAGCTTGCCAAACAGGCAGATTCCTGGGCTCACCCCAGAGGTATGGCATCAAGGAGTCTGCTCTATAAAGCAGCAGCTCAGAGGATCCTGAGGCAGGTGGTTAAGGCCATCGATAGAAAAATGTGACTAATGGCAACTCCTGTCCTGCCAGGCCTTTGTACATTCTGTTCTCTCTGCCTGGATCACCTCATCCTGTCTCTTACTGCACTGACAGCTAGAAGGTCTCAGCTTAAATATCACCTCCCTGAAGGATCCCTTCCTCATTTCCCCCAAGAGAAGGGGTTCTCAACTCTGGCCATGAACTCGACTTGCCTGGGGAGTTAGAACAAAACAGAACAATCCAATGCTAGGGCCATCCCAGTTCAATCAGAATTGCGATGGGTGGGGCCCCAGAATCACTTTTTCAACTTTTCATGAAGATACAACCAGCAGTAAGCTGAAAAAGCCCTGCTTTGTAATGTTGGCTGATTTCCTTGGTGTAAATACTGTCACTGTGACCAAATTCAAGCCCCCAGTGTGCCATCACTGACCGTGGAATTGGGAAGAGGTGTGATTCCAAACGGAACAGGGCTCCAGCATACCGTGGGTGTAATTTAAACACAGCATATCAAGGGTGTAAATCTTAGGTGCAGAGATCCATGAGTTTTTCCCACACATGCCTGTCCAATAACCATCCACCAGGGCAGGATCCCTCCACCTTGGCACCACCGTCATTTAGGGCCAGGTAATTCTGGTCATTCCTGTGGGGGGCTGCCCTGCACCTGGTAGCATGTTCAGCGCATCTTGATTTCCACCCACTGGATGTCAGCAGCACCCCTCCTTTTGCTCACGTGGTGGCAACCCTAGATGTCTCCAGACATTGCCAAGTATCCCCAGGAGGTAAAAATTGACCCCAGCTAGGAATCACTGGCCCAGGTCAAGATGTGAAACATTTCTGGAAGCCCAGAAGCTTCTCTCATGCCTTTCTACCTAGCTCCCCACCCTAAAGGTGGCCACTATTCTGGCCTCTATCACCACAGATTGGTTTTGCCTGTTCTTGAACTTGAAGGAAAAAGAATCACACTGTATGGATCTTCTGGGTCTGACTTCTTTTACTATTACACCTGCGGGATTTATTCATTGTTGTACAGGTTTAATCCCTGCTGCTATATAGTGTGGCTTTTGAGAAGAGACCACAACTTATTTACCCATTCTGCTGTTGTAGGACATTGGTATTGAGGCAGATTTCAGTTTTGGGCCTATTAGAAATAATGCAGAAACAACCATTCTTGTATATACCTTCTGATGAACATACCAAAAACTATAGAGAGTTGGGTCATAGAGTAGGTGTGTGCTTAGTTTTACGCTCTCATTTTGTAAAGCCTCCCCAGGGGACTCCGGTATGCAGCCAGGGTTGAGACTCCCTGCTGGAGACCATGTTAGTGACGCCTCTGGCTTCTGCCATTACAGCCCTGACCAAACTGTCCTGTAATCTCTTGCTTATTCACTCCCCTCCCCTCCACCCGCTGCTACACCGCCCGCTCTGGGAGCGCAGGGGGTCCCATCTGGCTGGTTCACTTGTACTTTCAACACCTGGCACTTAATGGGCCCTCACTAAACAAGTACTGAGTGAACGAGAGGAGGAGGAACGCTGGCTCTTGCCGTCCCCTGTGTGACAGTATGCACAGTTGCTAATCCTAGTTCTTTCCACCTCCCTTCCCCTGGGATGGGAACTGGGAAAGAGATTTCCAGCATCCTCATCTTCCTGCCTCCTGCTTCTGAGTCAGGGAAGCCCTGCTCCAGGGCCCCCTGGCAGGGCTGTGGAGATGCAAAGGGAAAACTCTTGGGTGTGCGGATTCCCGCTCCTGCCCCTGCCCCGCCGTTGAGTCCTAGCTCAGCATCCAGGGAGAGGGCCCAAGGAGGCTGAGAAGAGTCAGAGGCTTCAGGAGGAAAAGGAGCCTGAGAGTATGTGTGTGCGCATGCCCTCCTCATGCTCTTCCTGCTTTCTGGGGTGGCCCCCGTTTGAAATGCATGCAGATCAGACGGGCTCCTGAGCTAGAGCATATGAGGTCAAGGGCAAGCAACCACCGCTGTACACAGGGATGCTGGGATGGCTACCTGGGCCGTGTGCTACCCTCAGACCTTCTTCTTTTTCTCTTAAATATAACATGTTACAGGGTGTACTACAGGCACTGGGGAGTGTTCAGCATGACATTTGCATGTTCTGGCCTCAAGGGCACTTTCAGCTTTCCTGAACAGGGAAATGATTCAAGATGGACATGGTCCCTTTGGCTTTCAGGGCTCGGGGCTGAGGACATTAAAAATAATCATCCTCCCTTCTCAAACCCTGTCATAAGAAAATACCCCCTTATCAAGGTTCATTCATGGTCCTTTCCCCAAGAACCCAGAGTACAGTATTTGTTTTAGAAGCCCCGTTTGCAGAGGTTTTCAGTGACTCAGAATGTTCCACTGCCCTTTCTTTAAGGTCTGAAATACACTCTTGCTGTATCCCTAGCTCTAGTGGCACCTGGGATTGTGCAGTGCACCACCTGAACCACTGGACAGGGCGGCCACAGCAGATGCCATCTCTGCCTTGTGCGTCGTATCCTCTCCAATGACCCCAGAGGTCACTGTCGAAAGTTCTACGCAAACTAACGGCATCTGCGTCACTGTATCCCAGGAGCAATCCTCAATTAGGGCAGGATGGGAGCTGGTAAGCAACCACCCCGGCGTCATCGTCCCTCAGAGGAGTAACTGAGACGTGTTCCGCAGTCTCCCAAGGATGGCCCGCAGGGGATGCAGAGGTGCCCACAGCGGTCACCCGATCACTAACACAGGCTCCAGTTTTTATTATCTGTCCTTCCCAGTACTCTCTAGGGTTACTTTCCTAATAAGGCTCGTATCCAAACCCTGGGGGACCCAAGGCAGTGGCCCTGCCATGCCTGCTTTCTGGTCACTGCTCCATTTTATTGTTTTCACAGTACTTCCCACCATCTGACATGGTCCTGCACATGTACTTGTATGTTTTCTCCCCCAGGAGAGAACAAGCTCCAATAGGGAACCTGGGGTCTTTACCCCTAGTACCTACAACTACACCTGGCACACAGTGGGCACTGAAGAAATACACAGGCAAAACCCATTTCTCTGTTTACAAAGGTAGGCACAGAAGGAGTAAACCTTCTAGCCACCCCTTGGGGAGATGCCTGCACATGCACACATGGGGGCAACACCCACACCTACATGTCACTTACACATGTGCATACACACATGCACATCCAGTGTACACACGTCCTATGTGGCATACCCACATGTGTGCACATTCTCTCACACATACATGCACACACACCCAGGCCCCAACGTGTCCCATGCACCAGGTGGTGAGAAACCTTCAGAATAAAACTCTTGCTCCTGAAGCCAGGTCAACAAAAAAGCCTCGCAGCTGCCAGTGCTGATTCACAGTGTTTGCTTTTCCAGTAACATCCCTGGGTTCTGGGCCCTGGACTCAGCGAGCACGTGGACGTAGCAAACGCACCGGAGGCCGGCCTCGCGAAGGCCACTCCACCTCCTGTGCTTGGAGAGTCGGCCTCTCACTGTCCCCACCCGGGGTGGTGCCGTGGCCCCGCCCAGGCCCTCCCAGTGGCAGTGGAGACTGACCTGTTGATGAACTCTTCATAGCAGGAGTAGATGGCAGCCAGGCACACGGCCACCAGGTTGGGCAGGACCCGGGGGTGAGGGCAGTGCCCCGTGGGGCCGTGCATGCTGGAAAAGAGCAGAGGGCAGGGTGAGAGGCAGCCGCAGGAGCAGCACCACGGCGGGGCGGTGGGGGGAGGCTAGGGCACAGCCTGCGGGAGTCACCAGCGGGGGCGCGCTGAGCCTTTTGAGGGGGGCTGGCAGCACAGGGATTGCGGTCCTGGCCCCACCATGTCCAGCTGAGCAGCCTTGGCACACTGCTCAAACATTCCACTCTCAGTTTACTTAGTTGTAAAATGGGGACAACAGCTCCCTCCTTAATGAGGAACAATAAACACCCAATTTTCTAACTTATGGGAAGACTTAGCATATGGTGGCCATATGGCCTGGGACAGTCACATTTATGGCCGGGGGTTCTGAAATAATTATTGTAAACACCTCATTTTACTCTCACAAGTGCCCTGCTTTGGAAGAAAAATTATTATGGTCCCCTTGACCTAGCACAGGGTCTGGAATACAGCTGCTAAGGCTGCCATAAATGCAGCTCTTGTTAATAATCTTGAGCTATCTTTATGCCTCAGTTTTCTTATCTGTAAAATGGGGTAGTTTGGGGCCTGGGGATAATATCTGTAACATTCCTGGAAAAACCACTGGGACTAAGAGAGGCCTGACCTAAAGAATTTTACAAACATGGACTAGATATTTTAAAGGGACCCAGGGTCACCCAGACTCTGGTAGAAGGACATACCACTTGGGTTTGGAAATGCTTTGTGAGTTGCAGGTGAGTACGTTTAGGAAGCACATAGCTTCGAAACTGGCTTAATCAGGCTATTTTGATTTTCTTCAAAAATATGAAGTCATGACAATGACCACTGATGCTCCCATCACATTAATGCGTTATTCTGCGTGTGTATGTGCATTAGATCACCAAACCTCTCACTGAATGAAGTGGGTATTACAATTCTCAGTTACAGATGAGGAAACCAAGACACAGAGAAAAGTATTTAAAAATCAAAGCAAAAGTATTTCCCCGACCCAAACACCGGAAGGGAGTAAGAACCAGGATATTTGGCTTCTTTTTGGCCAAGTTTGAAAGATGGCTGTTAAAAGTCCCCAGTGGTGACTGTCCGGGGCGATGGGGGATCGTGTCCTGTGCACCTGGCACCCACAGCCCAAGGATGTACGCCTATTATGCAGACCTATTACCATTTCCTGAGTTCCTGCTGAGCCAGGGGCTGTCTCATACACCATCTCACATAATCACACAACAACCCCTGTGAGGAGGGAAACGGATCAGACGTACAGCAACTGGCTCAGCATCACACAGTGTGTAAGCGCCTCAGACATATGTCAGGAGGATCCAGGAGACCCTACAGAAGAGGAGGCGCTCACGGCCTTTGAACACTGGAGGCTCCTCTCTGGGCATCAGTGGAGAGCGTGGTTCTGGAAGGGAAGGAAAGCCAGCTCACAGGCAGGGGTGGGGAGGGGGTCAGCTGGGAGACCCACCTCTGAATGAACTTCTTCACCACTTCCATCCCCGCATTGAGCTCGTTCAAGGCAAGGATGTACTCCTGAGTAAACAGCCTCAGTCGCGGGCACTTCCCAAAGTCCTACAGAGAGAGCAGAGAGGAGTTGGGGCACACTTGCACAGAAGGCCAGGAGACTGGTGAGGAACTGGTGTGGAAGACAACGGGAGACACCAGCCATCTCCTCTTTAGAAAGCACACATATTTTCACTTCAAAACACTGGCCCTGTAATGCTCTTGCTTACACCCTTTGATGGCTGCCAGCAGAGAGCAAGAAATGTCCTGTCACAGAGGGGTTTCTGGCGTGCGTAGCCAAACCCTTGGCACAGTACCAACCCACCCGTGGTTGGGCGGGGTCCACATGCCACACAGACGTGCTCAGAAAACAGACACACTGCGGCCTCCCTTCTGCACAGCGACGAGGGGCCTGCCAGGTATCAAGCCAGGCCTCCAGCAAGGCCTGGCAGGGCTACAAGCTTTTCTTCTGAAGCCACCTGAGAAATTTTGGGCCCCCTCCTTTCTATGAGCTATTATCTGACGCCACTCAGAAGAGCAAAGTCAGAGGGTGCCCCAATCCGAGGCCATCTATTTGGGGTGTTGCTTTGGGACTTGCTGGGAGTATGAAGGAGGCAAAGGCGGTACAATGGACAAACATAACGCCCTGTTTCCCAAACATTTTTAGTGAGGAGATGCCTGCTCCTCTAGAATGAGAGGGCCGAGGCGGCCCGAGAGCCAGGTGCAATGGTTCCCAGTCTAGGGCTCCTCGGGCGGCTCCTTCCTCCTCTCGGCTGACCACTGCCACCCACTGCGCTCCACAACTAAACTTAGGGAGCATTCGACGACTTGAACTGTATAAAAAGCCACCCTCAAAGGGCACAGGGGACCAAAAAAGACCACTGAAAATGATGCATGAGCTCAAAAAAGGCTGACTGGACAAGTATGGGCATGTCTGTGTGTGTGTGAAAAATGTGGGATGAGGCGTGTGTGAAAAATGTGGAGTGTGGAAGGGGGTGTGTGTGAAAAATGTGGAGTGTGGAAGGGGGCGTGTGTGAAAAATGTGGTGTGGAAGGGGGCGTGTGTGAAAAATGTGGAGTGTGGAAGGGGGCGTGTGTGAAAAATGTGGAGTGTGGAAGGGGGTGTGTGAAAAATGTGGTGTGGAAGGGGGCGTGTGTGAAAAATGTGGAGTGTGGAAGGGGGCGTGTGTGAAAAATGTGGAGTGTGGAAGGGGGCGTGTGTGAAAAATGTGGAGTGTGGAAGGGGGCGTGTGTGAAAAATGTGGGTTGTGTGAGGAAGTGTGTGCGCAGACAGACTCTAAGACATGAAGAGTAAGTGTGTAAAGACGCGCTATGTGTGTGACATGGGGTGTGAGAGAAGGTGTGTGTGAAAAATGTGGAGTGTGGAAGGGGGTGTGGGTGAGACGTGGGCTGTGGGAGGAGGAGTGTGAGGAGACTCAGACTCTAAGACACGAAATGTAGAAGGTGTGTGTGAAGGTATGGTGTGTGTGTGACACGGGGTGCGGGAGGAGGCGTGGGTGAAAGGCGCCGAGTGCGGGGTTCTGTGCACGCGGCAGAGTGGTGGCCTGGGAGGGGAGGTCTGTGTGCTGGGCAGTGAGCGGGCGCAGAGGGACAGTCGCTGGTGCATGGGTGTCAGTGACAGGGCGCAGGCAGGCGGCGGGGGGGGGGGGGGGGGGACAGGGGCGGGAGGAAGAAGAGGGATGTTAGGAAAAGGCCAAGCTCCCAGCCCTGGGGGGAAAGATGCTCTCTGTCTCCATCGACCGGCTCAGCCCACAGGTGCCTGCATCTCACCTCAGCTGAAGCCTACTTAAGGGGCACTGTGTAAGGACAGAGGGACCCTGCCTGCTCTAATGAGTGATTATTAGAGACGGACATTTTCTCAGCTTCCCCAATGTAGCACGTCAATGGGGCGGGTGATAGAGCTCAGCTAAGAGCAGAAAGGCTGTTGGCTCCGGGACTTGTTAGAAGAAACACAGCGCGGGAGAGGGAAGCGCTACCCAGGGCAGGACCTCGTGTCCATTCCCAGGTGCACAGTTAGGGACCCGGAGGCTTCGTCACTGGACATCTAAAGCTGCGGGCTGGGTTTTGAATAGTCAGGAGGGGCAAGTCACAGTGTGGTCATGAGGCTGACTAGCACGACAGAGGGCAGCCTGGTGGTCTCCAAACTCATCTGTCCCTCCTATTGTCCCACTCAGTGAAACTCATTTAATAAAAAGGAACCTGAATCAGGACCCTAACCTAAAACAAAACCAGTGGAGACCCTCCTCAGGGATCTAACTGGTGCCGCGGGCCTTCCTGAAAGCTGAGTAAACTGTGTCCCTCCCACTCCCCGTGGCCAGCACACAGGGGCGTTCCTAGAGCTCCCCAGTGCTTCCTCACCTGGAGTTCAAAGGGCTGAACTAGGGTCCTCAAGGCCATGTGGGGCTCATCTGGCTGTGTCCTGTCTACTAGGATTATAGTTTTGAATCAGGAGGGCAGCAGTAGGCCCAGAGAAAGCTCAGAAGGAACATACACATGTATGCATACATACACCCCTAACATGCAGTCACACACACATATGCACAATACACATACATGCACACACACAGAACACTGAGCTAGAAGGTGAGGCCCCTGCAGGATGAAAAGACTGAAGCTTGATTATGGTTTCAAATTGAGGAAGACGCTCAGAGTCCCCTAATCCCCTGGAAATGAGTGACAGGAAACTGTGACCTTGGGCTGCCAGGCACTCCCTGTGTCCCTACCATAGAATAAGGGTTGAAGGAGCTATTCTCTAAGCACCCTTCTACCTCTAAGGTTTTATGATGTTATGAAAACTGCTTCACCTGAACCCTGCTAAAAAGTAGTTATCTTTGCCATTAGATTTCTGGATAGTCAAGGCCATTTCCTTGGGAATGAACATTACATACGGGCCTCATGGCCTTCCGAAATGTTGGTTGAGGGACATTTTGCCTCTTTGGAAAAGTCAAACATGCGTCCGTTGGAAAGCAGGTTAGATCACCCACGCTGGGGACCAGAGCCACATCTTCTTGCCACCCCTGCCACAATAAGAACACCCCACTGAATGGTGTGTGGACACAGGGACCATGGTTATTCTTGGAGATACAGTTTAATGAAGTGTTGAGAATCTACAGAGGAACATAGCAAAGGACTGCTTCCATTTGTATCTAATTATCATTTCTGCCAATGGGTAACCCTCTCTGAGACTCTTAACCTAAGATTCAGTTTGCCTGCCCATGAAATTGGAGCACATGATATATTTGCAAAAGATGCACTCTGGGAATAGGCGAAGCTCTGAACCCCCAGAGCACTACGATGGTGTATGATTTCCCCCATTTCCCAAATGCCTCCTTAACAAGAAACACTACGTGCAGAATGAAGAGAAGTCACTGGCCACACTATGTGACAGGCATGTGGCTGGTGGCAGGCGAGGCACACTCACTAACTGGTGACTGGACTCCCACACCAGCATCAGCAGAGAGTCCAGCTCCAAAATGGGGCATCTGGCCCACAGCCAATCATGAAACTTAAGGAGCATTAAATGAGTGACACCAAAAGTCTGCCACCTGGTCCGAGCCACAGTCCCTGCTTCACACACGTCTGTTCTTCTGCAGGGGGGACTGCTCTGCCTCGGTCCTGTCCACCAGTTCTCTTCCGACAGCGTAATTGGTAGATGCTGTACAGCAGCCCCAGACTCTGGGATCACTTTGGGGAAGTCCTTTAGTAGTAAAGTGAGAATTCACGCCTGAAGGTCCCTGAACTCTGCCAGGCCACAACAGAACTGTAAATTCTGGATGTGCCCTGTAGCTGTTCTGATTTTTATCCAGAAAATTATTGCATGGTCAACACTCCAGGCCCATAAAACTAGCCAAGTGCAAGGGAGTGTTGTATGGTTAAGCCATGGGAGCCTGCCTGAATTTTGACATTTTTCCCCTTTGAAGTCAGATGTCCCAAAAGAACCCTTATTAAAGTCCACTGCTGACCACGGAATATGCCAAAGTGCTTATGTGCCTGGGGAGGCAGGGGCCAGGCCAAGCAGGACCTGGGGTGTGGCTCTGTCACTGACAAGTGGTGATGGGAGAAGCTCCTTTGCAAGAGAAACTCCAGAACCTTTGCTTTGGACTCTGAAAAGGTACACCCTCTACTCACCCCTCATCCACAGTGGTTGTAAAGGGAACAATCAGAGACCCTTTTCTCCCCAGTGGCCGAAGCCAGAGAGTGCCTTTGAAACTCTGAAAGCCCAAATTAAGGCAGAACCTCTCCTGGACCCAAAAATGGGGTTTCCTTGTTAGTCCTGGAGAAAACATAGGATCCCTCTCCACTGTGTTCAGAAAACAAGAAATGCGTTTGTCTTAAAGCAAGAAAGATTTTGGAAACAAGCAAGCGCTCAGTGACGCTGTGCGATCGCTCGGGGCAGAGCACAGTGAACAGCACCCAGTGCCCGCAGGGCGCCGACACGATTCAGCGGGCAGGGGCTGCCTGGAACGCTGGGTTGGGAGAGATTCTTAAGTTGTCCCTGGGCTCTGCGGGCAGAGTGCTGCCGTCGATCAATGATGTCTGCCCTGAGTGGGCGAGGGGACAGCAGCGTCACGCATTTCCATTCTTGACTGGCATGGGGGGTAGGTTAGGTAATATCCTTTAGGGCCATGTTGTACTAGACAGGAGAGCTACTTCACAAGGTAACCTGCTTGCAGGCCACCCTTTTGCAGAACTGTTTCCAGCACGCCGAATCTTGACAGGGCCGGGGCCGCAGTCGCGGGCACCTTACAGTGAACCAGTGCAGTGATTCAGCGGCCCGACCTGCCCTGTGACCACACAGATGCCTCCATGGCATCGAGGCGCCCTTCAGTCTGCGCTGGGAGCTGGCCTGGCCGAGCACGTTGGGGCACCGGCCCTGGCTTTGGGCTGCCTGCTCCTCGGCGCCGCCCAGGACGCACCGCTGCCCATTGGCTCCCCGGGTTACCCAGGGGGCCTTCCTGGTCTCAGCTGTAAAGGGCGGCCATGGGTGGTCCTAAGGGCTGAGTGGCAATACACTTGAGTGTCACTCTCTGCCAGGCTCTAAAAAGGTGTGAGTAGATGTTAGTTATGCTTATTCCTCAGTCCCCATGAGTAATATGGAGAAAACAGTGATCTGCTGCTCTCACTGGCCTGACCAGAGGATGAAAGCGGCCACACCGACTGTAAGTGCCTGGCCCATGGTAAATGTGCCATTAAATTCTGCCACTGTTTTTTTTTTAATTGACTAAAAGTTTGTACTTTATTCCAATTTCTCAGGTTTTTCGCTAATACCCTTCCCTGTTCCAGGATCCCACCCAGGATACTACATTACACTTAGTTGTCATGTACGTCCTCTGGGCTATGGCAGTGTCTCAGACCTGAACAGTTCTGAGGAGCGCCGCATGTCCCCCCACTGGGGCTGGTCTGATGCCTGCCTCCTCATTAGACCAGGGCTGTGGGTTGCAGCGAGGGACAGACCCCAGAGGTAGAAAATGTACAAACCATCACCACGCCTGATCCCTGTTGGTATTGACCTTGATCACCTGGCCAAGGTGGTGACGGTCAGATTTCTTCCCTGTGCAATCACTCTGCTCTCCCTCTCCAGGCTGTGTGCACTGGAAAGATGTCACTAGGGACAGCGCCCAGCGAAGGAGTGAGAAGTTCCGCATCCCTGCCCCACCCCGAGGATGGAGGGCCTTACGGACATGATGTGTGACTTTACACACAGGAGACTCATGTCTTCTCCCCGAGCCAGGCTATTTTTTTTATTCTTACCTCCTGTAGAAAGATGCTCCCTGTTGCCTGAATACAAAAACATAGAACCAAGGGGGACAGGCTGCATGAAAACCCAAACTTAGAATCTCAGCCCCAGTCCCTGGCTGTCACGGTGGCCAACCCCACCCCAAAACCTTTGTAAAAGTGAAAGGCTGGAAAGGCCTTGCGCCCACCTCCTCCGGCTCTGTGGTCAGGGAGTTGGGGGGACTCACCATGTTATGCTTGAGGATTCTCTGGACCACGGGAGTGAACACTTCGATGACCACCATGGACCGGGGCCGCTCTCTGCAGTGCTGGGGAGACAGGAGGGCACGGTCAGCATGGAGCCTGCGGCCCCTCCCAGGGCTCGGGGGCAGGGGGCTCGGCACTGCTGCCTGGGCCCCGTGCTGAATACTGCTGCGTAGCTTTTTGCTTCTTTGTTTGATTAAGAGAAGTGGGGTGAGGATGGAGCTTCCATTTGCCTTTTATTCTGACCTTAAAGTCTGAGGTTGTTTCAGATGGTACAGAAGGGCATGTGCCTGACAGGGCCCTTATTTACTACAGCGAGACTTCTGCAGCACCGAGACCCAGAACGCTGCCTAACAGAGGAGTCTCCCAATAATCAGTGCAAGGATACCAGGGGTTTAATGTTTGGACAGCAGAATCTTGAAAATTCTGTGACTTTTCAACTGTTGGCTTTGCTAAGCGGTAACAGTTAACTGGCAGGCCAAATGTAGCTCTCAGATTTATTTTATCTCATTGACATGGTGTTTTGTTTTCACATCAAAACAGAAGGACCTCAGGTAGAGCAGACATGACCCCATCAATCCAACACATGTACAACCTGCCCGGGCCCGAAGTTGCTGAGTTTCCCTGCCATGGATGAGGACACTGTCCTTGGGATATTAGAAATCAGAACTTTTCCTCAGATCTTGGGGTCCTGGTTTTAAAGTCTGGCAGAAGAGGCATGGCCGGTGTGTCCAGAGAGCCGGCCCAGCGTGGACCCAGTAGAGGCTTTGTTCCCCTCAAGCTCCCCTCTCTGGAGGGCCGCCTGGTGGGTGAGGCACTGAGGCGATGGCTTTGACCCTACCCCCCGAGGGACAGCGGCCAGGAGGCTCACAGGCACTCTAGCTGGGACTCCTCCCTCCAAGGGGGAGGGCAGCCCGCTGTTCTATCAGGTAGTGTCCAAAAGGATGGTTTGGTCTATATTGTTGTTTTTTCTTTTTAACCCTTACCCAAGGATATGTTTATTGATTTGGGGGAGAGGGGGGAGGAGAAACATGGATGTGAGAGAAACACTGATTGGTTGCCTCCCATATGTGCCCTGGCTGGGGATCAAACTGCAACCTTTTGGGTGTATAGTTCGATGCTCCAACCAACTGAGCCACCTGACCAGAGCTGTATCACTGGGGTTTAAACTGTGCTACAGTTTAGTTTGAAGAGGTCCACTGCTCTAGAACAAGTTTGTAAACCACGAGATCTGGGAGAAAACATACAGCTGAAAGGAGAAAGAGAAGCACAGCTGGATTAAACTGGACCAAGTATCGAGAGGAGATGACATGCTGCGACAGGTGAAGGAGCAGCGGGCCATTTTCTCAGGAGCCTGAACACTGGGTTATCTGACCCCACCCTGCTTGGGGGCACAGAGGCCCATCTTGTCCTCAGTCTCACCAAGCTGTCACTTCCTCTCCTGGTGTGCTCCAAGCGGGTGGCGGGGCCTGGGTACAGCACAGGAGCCTGCCGCCTGTATGTGGGCATGCTCTCGCATGCACACGTGCACAGGTACAACCGTGAAGTCGGGCGCTCACCCACTGGAACCCACTTTACCTGCTTGGACTGGAAGGCACACACTGGCACATGCCCACATTAACAATGTACCCTGGGCACTTCGGGCCAGCAGGCTGGGCTCACCCTCTGCTCTGTGGGTTGCTGAAAAAGGTCTCCTGATGGAGAGATAGGGCCAAAGAGGATAACACAATCCTGTCTCCCTAAAATTCGTGTCACCTGACAGACATGCAGAGAGAGCATGCTCCCTAGGCTGCAGGGCGGGGGTGGGGGCGAAGGGCAAGGGGTGGAGGCAGTAAGTATACCCCAGTCTCCTTTCCTCCAGGAACCATCAGGCCTCCCAGGTGGCTTTGCCATGCCACATGGGAGGAAGGAAATACAAGTGAGGTGAGTCATCAGGAATGAGACCAGGGGAGTGCTAGGCCCTTGTCTTCCCAAGGACAAATCATTACATTAAAAAGTCAGACAGCAAAGAACAAAACTGGATTGTGCGCTGGTTCAGCCCTGGGGCCGACGCAGTGAGCTGGCAGAATGAGGGATGCCTGGTCCTCAACGTGCCCTGGACCTGTTCCGTGTAAATCCCACTGAGAGGCTGGCGCCGCATCCCTGGGAGCGGGTGTCCCACTCCATGGCTCCTCCAGGCTCTCTTGGCATCCTCTGACTGCTTTTCCTCCTCAGGAAAGCCCCACGGCTGGGCCCCCACTGTGGGCCAGCTGGTACTCAGAGAAGCCCTGGCAAAAATAACCCAGCTCTGACGTCAGGAGCCCAGAAAATCGGCTATGAACTTCTCCCAAGACAGCCACAAAGATATTTCAAGGAAAAGCTTGACACGCCTCCCTGACCCACTGGTTTGGACACTGGGCCTCAATGATCACCTGCCAGAGAGGGGACTGTAATTTTATGAACAGTGCACCTGGATTGCCTGCAGGCTGTGTCCAGGGCCCTGACCCCCACTGGCAGGGCCTGAGTTTTCAGCAAATTGTGCAAAGCCAACCCCCAGCATGCGTGCACATGCACACCTGCGCGCGCACACACACCTGCGCGCACCCAGCATGCGTGCACACACAAATTGTGCAAAGCCAACCCCCAGCATGTGTGCACACGCACACATGCGTGCACACGCACACCTGCGCGCACCCAGCATGCGTGCACACACACACCCTGCAGGTGCAGCCCCGCTGCAGCCATGCCATACCTTGCAGAAGAATTCACAGAGATCTGGTGGTGGGTGGTTGTTTTCCAGCAAAGGGGCGATTGCCTGAAAGACAATGAACTGAATGTCAGTCTGCATCTAAAGGAATCATACAGGGGATGTGTGTCTACACGAGAGGGTCGACTCGCGATGGAAGGCACATCTCCCTGTCACTCTCTGGGCAAAAAGGGCTCACTCCCTAATTTGCAGGCCAGGGCTCCTAAATTTGGGAGTGCATGGCTCCCTTGGAGAAGCTGATAAAAGCTCTGGGTTGCCTGCCAGAAAAACACACATAGAATAATGCATGTAGCTTTAGGGGTTTCATGACCTGCTGACGCCCTCCTCTGATCGACAGTCCCTGACGATGAGGCACGATAGTGGGTTTCTCAGCCGTGTACTGCTGACACCTGGGGCCAGCTGCTCCTATGGTGGCAGCTGCCCTGTGTGCTGTGGGATGTCTAGCAGCAGCCTGTTCTCAACCCACTGGATGCCAGGAGCGACCCCTAACCCAGTGGTGACAACCAAAAACGCCTCCAGATACACTCCATTTTAATATTTAATGCCCCTTGAATTAATTTCTCACCAAACCTTCTTAAGCCAGTTGGACAATAATCACTGGTTCCACTGTCATTCCTATGCCAGGGTCCCATGGACTGAGTGGTATTTGATTCTCGATTTTTCTGTCTCTTTCATAATTTGTTTTATGCTAAATTTCAAATTCAAATAAAAATTCTGAACAATTAAAAAAGTGTGTCCAGACACTGCCAAATGCCCTTGGTGGGGGGAGGGGAAGGGCGGGCAAAACTGGCCCCAACTGGTCCTGGTGCAAGTGTCTCTTACAGAGCCTGCAACAGGCCAGCTCTTGGTCAGTGTTAGTTACTAGATGGTTAACAGCAATGTGAAGTTCACACTTTTTCCTGTTTGCCACCCTGAGCACATGATTAGGAAACAGGAGACCCAGGACCCAGCAATGAGACTGCCAGGCTGTGTGACCTTGGGCGGGCAACTCAACATCTCTGGGCATTAGTCTTCTAGTCCATAAAATGGGGGAAACTAGAGTTACTGATTCACAGGGTTGTTGGGAGGATTTGGTGAGAGAAAACTCTAGAAGCTTTGGCACCTCAAGCTTGGTATAAGCTCACTGCCTAGAGCATGGCATGTCGCTGACACCACCAAAAGGAGACCGTCCTCGTCTGTACTGGCACGGCAGCAAGGGGTGACAATTTTGCCCGACTCCCCAGGGAGGCTCCGTGATGCCAGGGTCTCCCCATGACCACCTGCCACAGCTCCGACCCTGCCTGCTTGGTTTCAGGGGGTCTCCTCGACCTGCCCACTACAGCGATGCCCTTGGCTGTGGGTAGAGACCTCTCAGTAAGGCCTTCTGCTAGTCTCAGGACCATTAGGGAAAGAAAAGTATAACCGGACACGAGGAAAAGATGACCTCTGGTTGACCAGTTGTGTAGGTGAGGGCATCTAGGTAAAAGCTGAAGTCACTGAAATGGAGATGAGGTTCTGTAGCACCAACGAACAGGTTGATGAGAGCTGGAGACCAGGCCCAGGGTCATATTTGCCCAGGGCAGTGCATGTGCCTATTCAAAATTTAACTGATATGAAACAAAATGATTTTAAATGAAATAAAATTAAGAATGCAGTTCCTCAGTCCTGCTAACCACATTTCAGATGCTCAGAAGTCAGTCACATGAAGCCAGTGGCCACCACATGGGACAGTGCAGAGAACGTGTCCACTTTGTAGGAAGCTCTACTGGACAGTGAGGCTCAGTGTCTGGCCACTGGCTGGGGACTCTGCTGGCCTTAGTGACGTCACAGCAGGGGCAGGGGGACAAGGGGCCTCTGTCTGGCCTGTGGCTCTGCTCCTCAGGTCCAGCCCTGGGAGGAGGGATCACGCGCAGGGGGCGTCCCCCTGGCTTGAGCCCCTTTAATCACACTGAGCCCCTCTTTCATGGGCATGAGTCAAGGAACAGAGGAGTGGGAACACATTAGCACCCGGAGTGGGCGTCAGGCGTGGGCTCTGTGCTTCCGCAGCAGTTATCTCATTTGACCGTCGTCACAACTTGCTGAGGTAAAGCTGCAGTTACTTCCACTGACACAGGTGAAGAGACAACGGGTCAGGGGAGTTACGAGGCCTGCCTTGGTCACGGAATGATGGTAATTTTAAAACGAGTAATTAATAAAAAGGCTTATATTTTTGTGGAATCTTTCTATGAGCTAAACGCATTAGGTATATTAGCATTCTTAACCATCCCAGCAGCCTTGCAGGAAAGGCTCTGTTGTCACACACATTTCACAGAGGAGAAGACTGAGGCCTCGAGTGTCAAGCTGGCTATCTGAGTGGTTGTCTGACTAAATAAAAATATCCTGGAGCCAGTAGAAGGAAGAGGGGCAGACCAGTGGTTCTTGACTGGGGTGACTTTGCCCCCAGGGGAAATCAGCATGCGCGGAAATGGTTTTGTCACCACGGTGGGGGGTGGAGGACTACTGGCATCTAGTGGGCGGAGGCCAGGGATGGTGCTCAGCCTCCTACAGTGCACAGGACAGCCCTCGCCACAAAGGATTATCCATCCCCAAATGTCACTGGTGTCAAGGGTGAGGAACCTTGGGGTAGATATGCATGAAAAGACTGGAAAGAATTTCCAAGACATTTTATTAAGTAAAAAGACAAACACAGAACAACACACCCAGCACGTCATCACTGATGTTAAAAACAAAAAGCAAAAACACAACCGTGTGTGTCTGTGTGGTTTCGTTACTGCTGGGAACCCCTGGGACTGTCTCTGAAGAGGCTGCTGGAATGGGATGAATTTTTTCTTTTTTAACAATTAAAATACATTCATGAAATACTTGCAAAATAGAAGACAATTTTAATAAAATTAAGTAAAAGTTAAAGTTCTTCCATTATTCACCCAAGGTCACTGCTAGTATGAGGTGGGCCCAGGGTCTGCATCTGGCTCTGAACTTGAACCCACATTCAGCTTTAAACCCACTTTCTTGGCCAGCATGGGGGAGGGCAGCCGGCATTTGGCCTCCCAGTCCGTCCTCATTCAGTGATATTTCAGCTGTTACGAACCAACAATCACCTATTGCACGGATGCCAACTCCAGTTACTTGTTAAAGTGCTTATGAAATATAAGTACATTAAAAAAAAAAAAGCCCCATTGGGAGAGAACTAATCGCCAACAGGTCAAATCAGATAGTGTTAATTGCTGGAATGAAAGGAGGCTACTGAAGGCTTCACAATAATGAACACAGCATCGGGAATAAAGAATACTGAAGGGGAGGCATGGGGGGTGGCTAAGGGCAGGATCCTTACATCAAAATCTTCCCTGTTCTCAGGCATCCTTGCTGAGTAGCAAAGTTCAGCCCGGCCCAATTAAGGGGCCAGCCCAGCCAAATTAGCTGGCTAAATGCAGCCTAGATTTCTGGGACAAAATTTTTTTTTCCCAGTTGTTTTTTTTTAAATTATATTTTATTAATTCTGCTATTACAGTTGTCCTCAATTTGCCCCCCTCCACCTCATACCCCCCACACCTTTGTTCATGTCCATGGATCATGTGTGTCAGTAAGTTCTTTCCTTACCAAAGTTTCTTTCCCAGGCTTGTCCTAGGTCCAAAGCCCTTGCCTCTCCTTTCCGGGGCCAAGGCTCACAGTGGGACCCACGGGCGTTGTCAGAGGGAGAGGAAGATGCCAATCCCTTCCCTGGCATCCACATTCCCTCTGCTTCTCCACTACCCAGTCTCGCCCCTTTGCCCTTCCTGGCGCTGGGCCCCCTGCATGGACAGCCTTCCCTGGGAGCGCTCCCATCCGACTCTTAAGACTGAGTTTGCTCACCTCCTCCTGGACGCCCTCTGTCATTTTCCTCCCTGACAGAGGAGGTTTGGTGTCTGTCCTTTGTGTTCCTCTAACACCCTGAACAAATGTCAGCTTCTGACCATTATTTCTTGGTTATCCCTTGACTTGCCAGGTTCTCCCAATACACAGTGAATCCCTCAGTGGCAGCTTTGTGTCTATGGAACACAGACTAGTGTCTGACACATACCTGTGCTCACATGCCAACAAACATGTGTCAAGTTACTGTGTTAATTAATAGTACACCAGAGGATGGTAGTGACAGGTGATCAGGGATGCCCCAGGTGATGCTCCCCCGTGCTGGCCGGAGACAGCAATGGGTGGTCGGGCTGGAGCACAGGAAAAACCTCTGTATTTTTAACAAGTTCCCACTTAGTACCTACTATGTACCAGACACTGTGGTTGGGGCTCTGCAGAAGCTGCTACCTTTACTCTCTGCAATAAGAGGCCTCGGGGCTTATCTCCTGTGGTGCCAACGGCACCCAGCTGGGGCAAGGAGGGCGATTCTCTAGGCTGGGCAATGGCCAAGTTGGTGGGCGCCCAAAGCCCTAATTCAGTGCCAAGAGGCACAGTGTCTGGGATGTTGCCCTCGTTTCAAAGGCTGCAGCCATGGGACCTCTTGGGCAGGTGAGTGTTCCAGGTCCTTTCCCAGGCACACAAGCCTCTGCCTCTCACTTCCATTTCTAGTTCTGCCTCCCTGCTTTCCACTTCCTTAGGCTTCTTGCTCCTGGAATGTTAAAGTTTCCAAAAACTACCGCGTTGCTTTAAATCTCTGTTCATATTTTATTTCCTCTCTCTGGAATGCCTTTACTCTGGCAAACTCCTATTGATCCTTCAAAACCCAGTGCAGACATCACTGCCCCCAGGAAGCTCTCTGGCTTCTTACCCAGGTGAGTTTTTCACTCCACTCTCTACACAACATGCCTCTATTTTTGCAGTGATTTCATTTGTCTTCCTACAATAGATGATGAACTCTTTAGTAGCAGGGGCTATCTTATTTATCAGTGGATTCAAATACACAGCAGCACAGTGCGTGGCATCCAGCAGGTGCAACTTCATATCTTTCTTCTCTCTAGTGAGAGTTATGTTTCATGACTTAAAAAAACTCAGGAAGCTATTTTACCCCACAGATGCTTACATCATAGTCAAATCCCAGAAAATATCATCTCACTTTGCATATCAGAGGGGATTAAGTCCAGGTTCTATCTGTGGATTAATTAGGAGATATGGCCTGGGGCAAGAAAGAAGCCGGTCACTGCCAAGGGTTTTGCCTCTGAGTAAGTTATAAAGGTCTCCGCTGTCTCCTGCCTTCAACTCCCTCAGCAGACTCAGGAAGAAAGAGGCAGTTAAGACACATTTGCTATAAACCTCAAAGATAATTACATCTCCCCCAAAATCAATGTGTGAAATGTGCCAAAGCAGGAGGGAGACATGTCTGGCTTGAGAGGGAAGAGAAAGCTGAGTGAGGTGGCTGCGCTGCTGATGACGCGGGCGCCTCCAGGGTCAGCTCAGAGCCCGGAAGAGCGGTGGGTCCCGGGAGCGGGCAGAGGGGAGAGGCAGTGAGAGACTTACCACAATGATGTTCTCATGCTCCTGCGTGGTCAAGTTTGTGTTCTAAAGGATGGAACGCAGAAAGCAGGAAGAAAACAAAACAAAAATGCAAATGTTAACAAAATGGAACACTGTATCTCAAAGGTTCGCCCAGTTTCACAAAGCTTTCAGCCTCTCATGGCACTACTGTTGCTTTTTCGTAATTACACAGACCCGAAGACCCCCAAAGGCATAATTGGGACAGGAGAAAAGTACAAATTGGGGCAGGAGGAATCATGTTTCCAGTGTCTGTTTTGCAGCTTTTGGGTTACGTGACCTTGGACAGATCACTTCCCACCGAGACCCAGTTTCTTCTGCTGTAAATGGGATCCTCTTTGGGCTGCTGGGAGAGGATATAGGGACAGGGCTTAAAACTGTGGTTGGCACTTGCCATGGCGATGCCGCTTGGAAGCCAGAAGACAGGTTCATGATAAACATGTGAAGAATAGACTTTTAAGTTTTGACTCTGTGCCGGAGTCTTTTAGGAGCAGCATGTGCATCATCTCAGCAGTTTGCAAACTAGGTTCCTAAGGAACACTGGTGTTCTATGAGTTGGCCCAAGATGTTTTAGCTAAATTCAAATTCTAACAATAAACTTTCAAAAACAGTGTTAAGTTGAATGGATTAAACTTGCTTAATTGTAGTTCCCCACCCCCAATCTGGAATTTTCTTACACAATTGGGACCTGTACAGCCATCCTGTGAGTAAGCAAATGAGGAAAGGGATAAATAGGCAGTAAATGAGAAACCGTGGCAAAACTCAGAAATAGCCACTACTGTCTTGCTAGTTTCAGGGTGTGTTCTGTTTTGTCTGTCTTGGTGGACACAGGCTCTCTTGGTGTCAATTCACATTTTCTAACAGTCACAGATGCTGCTTGTAAGGTGCCTCTTCACTGGAGAGCGAACTGGAAAGGCTGATTGTTCTGGGTTCTGGAAAAAGCCTCCAGCGCCCACCACCTGGACAGGTTTAAGGAGCACTGGGGTATCTAATGTGCTTAACGCAGCTGAAGTGGAAGAAAAGCTAGTACCTGTTTTTGTCTGGTGTCAAGAGATGAAGGTATACACAGAACCAGGGTCAGTATCTGAGCTGCGCAAGTCTCCAGGTTCCCATGGAGGCAGCCTGACCCGTGATGCTTCGAATCAGGGAACTTTCAGGAGCGTGTTTTATGGATTCCAACACCATTTTCTTTTTGTGACTGTTGCAGTTTGAGCGGCGCACTTAGGGCAGGCTATTAAACATCAGTCGTTTTTCAGCTCAGGGTAGATGAAAGCCTGGCTTTGGTCTTTCTTCCCTTATGACTGACTGACGAGTTCACTAAGCTGCAGGCACTGTGTCAGAGCTTTGTAATACCAATCCCACCCATTTCTCTTTCTCATGGAGGTTTTCCTGCTATTTCCCACTATCCCCTCAACAGTGAGCTACCTGAGACTCAGAGGAGCAGTTGCCCACCGGGGAACACTCCTAACAGCTGGCGGATTCCAAAGCCTGTATCTCCCACCACTGAGCTGTGGTGCTCAGCCTGTGCAAATGGCAGGTCCATCTTTCAGGCTGAACGGGACTAGCCTGTCCCTCACTGCACTTGGGCCACTTTCCAGGAAGAGCCTTCAGTGAGCACACAGACCATTTCCTTTGTCAGTCACTGGTGGCAGCCCATGCCACTCTGCAGGATCACTTTTCTCCACCAAGGCCATTTTCAACCCTGGGGTAGAGAGCACTCATTAAGAGCCATTGCTCAGAGGGGACACCTGAACCCCAAGCTGAATGGCCACTCCACATACTCAACTCAACAAAGGCCCGGGAGGTCAGGGATGCCGGCTTCACTTGGCTGGTGGGATGGATGGTTCTTTCTCAGAACTGTTTTGCCACCAATCAGTCCCCTCTTTCCCCCCTGTCCCTTGGGCTCCTCCTCACCTTCTAGTTGCTTAGGTGGGGGCTGAAGACTCTTAGCAGTAGGCCTCAGAAACAACTTGAGTACAAAGAACAGATAAAGAGTCTAGTCCATATATTCTAAACACAAAAGGGTGAGGAGGGAGGATCCGATTGTTCTTCCGCCCATGCCATCCAGACATGCAGCTGCTGGTGCCTGAGGTCAAGACCTCAAACATCTCCCAGGGCAATAAAAGTGTGACCATTCATCAAATGCCCCCTGTCTGTGAGGCACAATGCTGACGCTGTTTCTATATTAGAACATGGACCCTCAGGTCCATGAAATGGGTGCTAATCTTAGCCTCAGCTCATGGACGAAAACTGGGTACTGAGCCTAGGAGCCTGTCGAAGGCCAGTAAGCTCCCGAGGACAAAACTAGGTGTTTCTGATTCCGCACATTTGCTTTTAACCACTGTCCCACACAGGTGGGTCTCCCCCTCACTAAAAAGGCTCTACCAATGCAGGTGCATGTCACACCTATGCACAAGAGCATGAGCTTCACCATCAGGCAGACCTGGGCACGACCTGGGCACGGTCTCCCCCTGAGGACACATCCTCTGCTCTTCTGCTTGTGACTGCCATTGCCCCTTTCCACCTTCGCCCCTACCTCCTCTCCGGGGGAGGGACCCTCTCCAGTCTGCCGACACACAGGGCCTGGGCCAGCCTCCTGGACCGCCAGGAGTGAGCAGTCCCGGCCCGCAGAGAGAGGGCCAGGCCGAGGCAGCAGGGAGCTTGTGTGGGAGTCCAGAGGCCACCCCTGAGGGAGGGGGACAGAAAGAACGGGACAGAAATGTCACTCTGGTGGCCACGCATAATTTAAATCAGGAGTCATCAACTCTAATGTCCCCAGTGGCCAGGCAGGCAAGTAAACGAGGAGCATTATTAATATTTGTAAAGTGCTTAGAATAGCGCCTGGAACAGAGTAAACAGAAGTGTGTCTCTTAGCACCCCTTGCCTTCTGACGAAAGAGCAACTAACTCCCTGATTAAGTCTTACTTGCCTGCCCCCTGCCAGGGCGCAAGCTCCAGCAGGGCAGGGGCTTGTCCTCGCCTGGGCACCCAGGATGGCGCCTGGCACACGGCACACACTCAGAGCGTGGGGCCGCCTGGCAAAGCAGACGGCTCGGACGGGTGGCACTAAGCAGCGCCAGCTGCAAACTGCTGCCGAATTTTTTGACTCCTTTTTAAAGAGCACTAGGAAATTCCCATTTTGTTGTGAAATCTCCCAATTTAAAAAATTCTGTGTGAGATAAACAAAATACAGCTGTAGCCTGTAGGGGGTATTAGGGCAGAAAACCATGTTGCCTGGCCCACCAGAGCTGAGGTGCTGGGATGAGAGGGAGGCAGCCCAGGACCACCAGCCCCAGCGCCAGGAGGGCAGAGAGGAAGGGCAGTCTGGGTGCTTCCCCGATGCGCTCCCACTGGGAACGAACCAGAGGCCTCTGAAGTCAGCTATCACCACCACTACCAACCCGGCCTCAGGCCTGCGACCATAATCAAACCACCACCATGTGCCGCCCCCAGTTTGGTCATGGGGCATGGCAGGGTAGTGACAACCGTGCCTTCGTCCTGGCCACAAGCCCTGGACAGCTCAGTGGGAAGCAGTGGGCAAAACTTCTCAACATCTTCAAAGAGCTGGGGGGAGCTACTCACTTCCTTAAGCAACAGGGAGACAGTATAAACTCAGATTCAATTCTGGTCATGCGTTGGTGTGCAGGGGAGGTAAAGGGAAATAAAATAACTTAAATGGGAGCAATGAGGTAAAAAATCCAGCAAGGGGAGGTGTCTTACCTCTGAGAGCAGTTTTGAGACAATTTCCAGTGGGGCTTGGTTGATGGAGTCATCTTGCAGGGGCGACGTCAGGGCCATGTCCACCAGAGTTCGAATCTCTTTCAAGACAACTTCCCAACGGCTTGGGTTACTCAGGACTTTCTTGTATTTGTAAATCTTTTTCTGGTCAGAAGAAAGAGACACAAACATGTTATTGATATGTCGAGGTCAGAAGATACAAGGTGATCGAAGAATCAGATACATTAAGCTATAAAAGGCCCCAAGAAAGTGTCGGTGTGGCCACTCTCTGCCATAAGAAACTGACACCTGAAAAAGGAAGGAGAGTCTTGCCCTAAGTCACAGGTACATTTGTAGCCAGGCCTCCTGAATACAGAAGAGTAATTTCCATATGACTTCCAGTGACTTCCAGAAAAAAAAAGAGAGAGAGAGATTTCTCTTTCCGATCCTATCTTCTGCCAAACTTCCTCCCCGAGCATTCAAAGGCAATAGGCGCAGAAACATCCATGGGTCCACAAAGGGACTTTCTTTGAGTCGGAAGCACTACTTCTGTTCATCCGATCCCAAGAGGTCCCCCTGGAGAGTGGGGTTTAGCTAAGAAACAGGACAGGCAGACCAGAGGCAGAGAATTCAACTCCAGCCATGTGTGGACAGAGCCCAGAATGGCCCCCAGGAAATGTGAGGCCATCTTCAGCTTCCACCCGGTGAGTAAGACGGAGCATTCTCACCTTGGCTCAGGCGCTCCTTGCAAAACTGAAACCCGGGGCTGCTGCCTCCCTGGATTTGAGGTTGAGGTAGTTCCGCCTCTCTGACATCATGGAAAAAGGAGCCCTGCCTCGGGAGGCGAAAGGCAGAGGTCCCAGCCAAATCCCCACCCCCAACCCCAGACCCAGCTTTCTGGGGAGCCTCTCTTTCTAACAGGATGGACTGCTTCATTAAGTGCACTGCTCTATGGGGAAAACCTAATTTTAGCGTCACTATGCCAGCAGCTAGCTTGAGTGACATGTCACAATCTCCGAGCCAAAGTCTGAATGAGGGAAAGGAGGAGGAGGAGGAGGTGGTCATTGTCTCCCACTGGCCCCTGGGGCCACCAGAGTCTCCCTGACCACTGAGCTTCTGAGTTAAGAATGGCAAAGTGATCTTGGAACCCAACGCCTTAAAGTATTTGGGGGCACAGTCCTTATCAAACTGAGTAGTAGATTGCGCTGAGTGAGGCACTGGTAGGATCCAGACTCAGACTCACCTGACTCTTCTTATAAAGTATTTCCTCCACAGAGCCTACTTCCTCTTTTTGTAAATTAGGCGTGGAAATACCTTGCAGCCTCTTGAAATATGTAACCTTTAAAAACCCTGGACCCACATGGTCCACTCTCTGTATGGCGTTACATTTGAAAGCATGGTCCAAACAAAACAGCCACCAGTAACAAAAAGGGTATTCTGGATACTTAACTAGTCCCTTTTGAAAAACTTTAGAAAGAGAAAATGTGTAAGCCACAGCAATACAAAAAAGTATCCCATTTCCTTTCTCCTATTTTTTTTTCACACTCCACGATGCCCTGGAGCCTCTTCCTTGCTAACCACGCCCCTATCACCACCACCGGCACCCACACAGTTAACTCACAAAGCTTACTCGCCCCTCATCGCCCCCAGTCTTTCCTGTGTAAGTCAACTTGTTTCTCCCCGTACACACACAACATTCATTCTCTCTGTCCCTCACCCTTTTCTCTCTGTCTCTGTCTTACTGTTCTCTGCCCAGTCACCTGTCCCCATCAAGAACTAGAGAGGGGACCAGATCGTCCCCATGTCCATCATTTTGGATGCGATTCGGACTGGAAGGAAGGCAAGGCAAGTTCTGTCGGGGTGGGCAGTTAGTGAACAGTAAATATGTCGTTGATCCAGAGGATGGTGACAGTGAGTGCCTGCTGAAATCTAGGATGTTAATGACAAGACACACCCGGTTCCGTGAGCTTCCCTGGGGCAGTCACCAGACTCGGTCCTAGTAACTGTCAGCTGAGCCTCCCTGACTGATCTAAGCAAACACAAACTGCCCGAAGCTTAGTGTAGTGGAGACAGTTCTCAAGGCAGAACTCAATCCGTCCCAGGGATGAATGCTCCTCTGAGTCCTGGACATTGTGGTTTTGCTTTGTACCGAGAGAACTGCTTAATTTTTAAGTGACTACGAAATGGTCCAGAAGCTTGCCATATATTAAGCCCCAAAGAAAACCACAATGATACACACCCATGTCTTCCCACAGTAGATTCTAGATTTGAACATGGTCTGAGCTTTAAGTGCCTCCTCTTCTGATCACCTGCAAGTTATTTACTTTTGAAAGAATAATGACTTCATTTTTTTTGTTGAAAATGATGCATGCTTATTGCAAGAATTTTGAACCATGCTGAAAAGCGCACAGAAAGGATAAATTAAAAGGCCTCAAAAAGCCCACATCTTAGAAATAGCCACCATTAACGTTTGATGAGCATTGCTCCAGCCAACTCTCATTTAAATTTAACTGAATACAGCCAGCCCACCGGATGGGTGGTCGTGAGTAGAGTCTCCTGCTGGCCACACTCAGACTCTAGAGACTCTAGAGCAGCAAGACCTTGGCAGAAGGGTCCACTGGGTGCCACCAGCCCCAGTGCAGCTTCCAAGGAGCCCCTTCACAGCAGCGCTTACTGGCAACAGCTCTCCCACGAGCGCCTCTGGGGCCCAGACCCTTACCTAGGCAGCAGCCCAGCACAGTGATCACAGAGGCTGCATTCAAAACCAGAAGGGCCCAGGGGCTGTAACAAGGGCTAGCATTCAATGAGCACATACTACTACACACCAGGCACTGTACTGGGCACTTACGAGCATCGTCTCGTTTAGTCCTCACAGTAACTACAGCAGCTGGGGGCCTGCCACAGGCAGAGCAGCCCTGGGAGCAGGATCTGAGGCAAGGACCCAAGTGCAAATGGTTTAATCATTTTAGAGGTGCTGAAGGCCACATCAATGCGTGGTGGGGAAGAGAGGCTGGGATGAGAAGGCAGTAAATTAACAGGGCATCATAAAGCATTCGGATGGGACAACTGGCAATGTTACCCACTGTGGGAATGGGGGCTAAATGCCATGCAGGACTCTAGGAGACAGTGGAGATATGCATTAGAGCTGACCCACTCAAGGAGCAAGGAAGCTGCGGCGTTTATCCAACGATCTCCTAGACGCTCCAGGACTTGTGGCTGCCCCATGCCCCAGCCAAAGTGCTTCCATAGCCAGAAATGCATATGCTCCTGGCAGAGTCACAGGTGTTCCCAGCAACCAGCCCTCAGAGCAAAGCAATGCTGAGAGGGCTCCTGCTGTAGGGTGCTAGTATCCTGTTTACATGTAAGACTATCATGGCCGGAGAGGTGACATGACTTGCCCAAGGTCACGCAGGTAGAAAGGGCAACTGAGAGTCAAAACTGTCTTTGGTAGACTGCAGAGGTTCCCTTCTTTCTATTACATCAGTCAGGGCCAGCACAGATGGTGGAAAGGAGGGGCAGATTCATTAAGAGACACTGTGAAGAAGGGTTCAAGAATGCTTGGTGGCATGGGATGAAGGCCAGGACAAGTTCACAAGGCTCTGAGAGCCAGAGCCCAGGTGACCAGGGGGTGGAGGGTCTGTGGGAGGGGCTGGTGGGAGCCGCTGGTGGACACGCAGCTGTGACATCATGGTCATGGGTGTGGGCAGGCCAGTGGTTGCCAGGGAGGCTCTGAACTCTGGGACAGGGCAGCTACAGGAAAGGGAGGCCTGTTCAGGACCGCAGAGGCCCAGTCGCTCTGCCTTGGGTGACATTAGTAGGTTTCACCCCAGGAACTCCAGTGAACTCATCTAGTAATGCGTCACAGTGGGGCTGGGAACCCAGACTGCCTGGCTCCCGGGAGCCTAGCCCTCAGCTTTGCAGTATTGTCCTCCCACCGAGTCCACTTCATAAAGAGGGCTGGGCGACTTCTTGCCATGTCCAGAATGGATGGACTGCTGGAATTCTTTGACAGGGGCCTTCAAACTGTCTCCTTGCTTATTTCTGTGCAAGGGAGCCAAGAATGGGCTTCAATTTTTTAAGAGTCATGCAAAAATATATGCGACAAAAGTCAATGTGGCCCACAAAGCCCCAAGTATTTACTATCTGGCCCTTTAAAGGAAAAGTTTGCTAACCCCTGCCTGAAAAGGTGACACCCCAGCCTCGCAGTAAATGCATGATGCTCCTCAACATTATGAGCCATCAAAGTCATGCAGGTTCAAACCATAAAGAGACACCACTCCATACCCACCAGGCTGCTGCACCTAAAAAGACAGGTGATACCAAGTGCTGGTGAGAATGTGGAAAAACTGGGATCCTTGTGCACTGCTGGTGGGAATGTAAATTAGTATAGCATCATGGGAAAACAGTTTGATAGTTGCTTAAAACATTAAACATAAATTTATCATGTCAATGCCCCAGCAATTCTGTTCCTAGAAATCTACTCAAGAGAACTAAAAATAGGCTCTGCATGAAGACATGTGCAGGAAAGTCCACAGCAGCATTATTCATAATAGCCTCAAACTGGAAACGACCCAGATGTCCATCCACTGATGAATGGATAAGCCAGATGTGGTCTCTCCAGATGATGGAACAGTATTTGGTAGTAAAAAGGATGGAACTACTCATACATCCTACAATATGGATGAACCTCACAAATATCATGCCAAGCAAAGAAGCCAGATAGAAAAGACATACTATATGATTCCTCTTATATGAAATGTCTGAAAAGGCAAACTTTAATCACAGAAAGTGGAACAGTCATTGCCTAAGGATTGTGGATGGCAACAGAGATTAATTAGACTGCAAATAGACCTGAGGACACCTTTGAGGAGGATAGAAATATTCTAAAACTACGTTAGTGATGGTTGCACAACTCTATCAATCTAGTAAAATCATTAAATCACACACTTACAATAGATGAATTTTACTGTATGTAAATTATACCTCACATAAGGTGTGTAAAGAAAATCCCAACCCAGGCAGGTAGAGGAGGACTTCAGACAAAGCCAGAGGCAGTGTGGCTTAACGGTTATGCAGGCAGGTTTGCCATCAGCAGACTTCATTCAGTTCAATTCCAAGCTTTACTTCATCCATCCACCCACCTACCCAGCCACCCACCCATCCAT